TAAGTAAATAATAATGTTAAACTCATTTTTTGTCTATTCTACATACTCCTTCTTGTGATCGAGCATTTTCAAGAAAATAACCACCAGGCATACGTTCATCAGCAAAATCCAGAACTATAATTTGTTTATCTTTTAGTTCTTCATAAAAAACAGCTTGTTCAATGCCTGACAGATGAAATTGTATAGTTCCAGAATTTTTACGTTCATCAACAGGTTTGTCTAATAGAGCTTTATTTGTATCAGTATCTGTTATTGGATTGAAATAACCATTTTTATGTAAACTTTCAATTTCTTGATAATTCCAATATAATTTGAGTTCTTCTGGTTGAAAACCTTTTTCACGATATTTTAGTATATACTGTTGTGATTGTCTGGGACCTGGTCTATTTGCATCTCTTTTTAATTCCCAATAATCACCAAATTCTTTGGTATGATATTGCTCTTGATATGGTTCAGGTTTCGTTTTTAAATCATCATAAATTTCTTGAATATAATTCCAATTAATGTTTGGATTACATTGATTGATTAAATCCATTAATTGTTGTTTATCTATGCCATACACTGATATTAAAAAATAAAGCATTGTTCGACGACTGTTATGATAATCATATCGCCTTTTATTTTCAACATTATCGATGTCAAATGGTATAGCAACACTAAGTATGGATTCTATATCAATTTTACTTAAAGCATGTAACGGAATGTATGCTGCTGTCCGTACCATATTGTATTGAATAAGTCTTTGAGGAAATGATAGAACAATTAATGATCGAGCTAAAAAAGATATATGAGATTGACAGGAACATGTTACGAAAAGAGGATTGGACAACTTTTCGATCGGTGAGGCAAATGACAGAATCAACCGGAAAAATAAGGCTCATGTGAAAATTGCTGATCTTCTACGGATCAATGTTAAGTAACCTAACTCGAAAGCTGAATGCTTTTTGCATGAGAAAGATGATTTAGAAAAATAGATAAATGAATTCTCATATGAGAAATATTCTTTCTATCTATCACATATATATATATGCATCTCAAGCGGAAAAATGAAAATTCATAGGAATAACGCTTTTTTTCTACGAGAAAAATGGTTTAGAAAAATGGATAAATGAATTGACTACCTTTGTTACCATGACTTATTTACAGACTATTCCAAAGGTGAAACGGAAATGCTTCGTAATAATACTATTTGCTTTAGGAAAAGTCGTTTGCAAAAATGAAGTTGAGACTGCGAAAAGCATTTTTATTAATCGCATATTGGCTTATTTTTTAATGCGAAGACAATATATTGGTCACTCTAATTTCTAGTATTTGAAAATATACGATTATAGTAGAGGGAATATTAGGATGAAGTGAAAATATGATATTATGTAATTGCTATAGCTGGGACTTTATTCACTATGTTCGATTTATTGTAACTGGTGCATAGCTGTCGTTTTGTTAACTACTGCTGGCTATAGTGTGATCGTGTAATATATGTCTTCGTTTGTTGTGCCTTATGCCCAGTCATTCCTATTGTAGGGATATATCACTGTCTTATAAGAACATTAAATGCATGTATCTGATCTCGATTAAGTCTTGTTTTAGTCTTTCTATCATTTTTGTTATTCTTATATAGATGTACGGTTTTTCTTAAGTAAAGCATGAAGAAGACACTCGTTTCGATTACACGTAAACACAGTTTGTTGGTCACCTTTAAAAGAGCCAACGCCTAGATCACTATTATTAGCTATTTCTTTTTCTTTATTTCTATCATGTTATGCTTTGTACGGCGTGTTCTAGTCATATATAAACAGAAGACCTCAATATGTAATATGTATCGTAACAATGTGCGAATAAAAAGAAAAAACAAAAATTTCTTTTGGTTTTTATATCCATGTAGATCAATGCGAAATTTTTAAAAAGTCACCTTCTATGTTAAAATAATTAGTTTCTAAATACTTTGATCCCCCGTAATATAATAACACTTTAAGTGCACAATAAGTTATTCATTTAAACTAGTTAATCATATCTATTTTGAAACGATGTGACTATATTTCACTCTCTTTATATTGCTGTTTTTCTTCTCTCTTACTCGCTTAAATACTGTTTTAATCTTCTTTCTTCTTTTTCTCTATAATTATGTATTTATTACGTTATGAAGAGAAGCCGACGAGCGAAAGAAAGAAAATTTTACAAAAAAATGACATGTATATCTTATTATTCTTATTTATTCATGTTTGTATCTGTTAACCCTAACGGGAACAATAAACTTAAATGTGAAAAAAGAAAAATTTTCGTCCGGTAATACTGTTCGCTATTATGATGTTTTTCTCTACTGATCGAAAAGGTGGTCACTATTAACATTTAACGGTATTATCTTAGAAAATTAATGTCAATTAAAATGTTTCAAAAAAACTTGGCTAAACGGCGAATTAAACAAACAAAATAATGACTGTCTCTCAGAATGCTTCAGATGAATGTCTTGATTGCTTGTGATTAACAAGATTTTTGCAGTAGTTTCAAGGTTCTCGTTAATAGTACTGTCATTATACTGAACACCATATTTCCTTCTAACATCATTTTTCCGCTGGAGATATTATACAAATCAGTCATGTATAGAAAGAATATTTCTCACAGTAAATTCATTTATCCATTTTTCTCATAATAAAAAGCATTATTTCGCTATATTTTCGTTTTTCCTTAGATTTAGATGCATATATACGGTTATAATGAAAGATATTTTTTGTTCTAAGCTACCATTTTTCCGCTGTTTTTTCATTTCTTCTTATGACTGAACGTATATATACAGTTGTAATCAGTGTTTTAACCAGATTTTTTGCTCTATATCACGAGATAATAGTATATCTGTTTTCCAATACTTCATCAAAACTAAATGCGTATTAGTTTCTTAAACTAAAAAATATAACTTGATTCTTATTTATTTTTATTCATAATTTTAAAAATTACAAATAAATAAATTTTTCATCCGATTTCTAACAATTCTGATGTTGATTTTTGTCCAAAAGTTTCTCATATGCTTGTTGTAACATTACACAATTACTATCAAATTCATTTTGACGTTCAATAAATACTTGTTGAACGTTTTGCATCGTATCTGTTAATTGTTGTGATAAATTTGAACGAATTGCAAAACGTTCTTCATCTGTTGATAATATTATATATTTTGACACACCAGCAGTTTTATCAAGTACATATCGACTTAATAGATCTGTATAGATTTTCGATGTTTGATAGAGAAAATAAGCATTATTTTCTAATGTATACAATATTGGAATTAAACAAGAAAATTCATTGTCCGGAGTTAAATTAAATTTTGTTTTTATATCAAGATTAATAATTAATTGAGCAATTTGTTCGAATTGTTTTTTTATTTGTTGAATCATTATTTCCATTTTTTCAAACGCATTTTTCAAATCAAATTTATTCGAAAGTATTAAATCTGTTCTATCATTAATTTCCGATGTTAAATTAATTGGTAATTGTTGTATTTCATTTAACAAATAAAGAAGATTAGTAAATTGATCTATATCTTTATTAATCACTATTTCATTTTCATTTGAAATCCGAGCTATATTATTAAATGAAATAGGTAACATTCTACTAACCATTACTGATGATCCTGTAGTAATTAATTTCAATATTGTTTTAATATAATTTGGTATACGTTCAGCAGCAAGTTGAATACGAAACATTGTTGAATATGTACTTGAAAATAGTTTATGCATATTCGAACTAACTTGTAATAATGTCATACGATATGATTGAGGATGTTGAATATAATTTAATGTTGAATTCGTTAAACTATTCAATGAAAAATCTCGTTCACTAGCCATGATCATTAGAATCGATTGAAGATGAGCAGCCAAAATAGTATTCGAAATTAATTCTTTCGGTAATGATAAACTATTGAATTCTATTTAAAAATTCAATGAAAATAAAAATTAATTAATTAATTATACTTACGAGAATTTATTTGTATCTCATTTGCTTGAACTATTTTAGTAAAAGCGATGAAAATTAATAATATCGATGTATACATCATTTTATTTCTTAAGAAAATGAATCCTAGATTTTCGTTATAAAACGAATGGGCTTTCGTCGAAAATCAATTGTGAAAAAATAACATCTGATATTCTATCTTCATAGACAGAATGAATGACTCAAGTTTGCCAGGTGTCTACAGATTCGAGCAAATAGAAAAATAAATTTTAATTTAGAATTTATAAATACAAGAAAAAAAGGAACACGAAAATTTTTATTTTTACATAAAAGGAAGAGATGTTTTAAACATATTTTGTTTTGGATTTTTTCGTTGTGCATTTATATTTAATAATTGATTAACTTCATCAGTAACTAACATTTTATAATCCAATTGTTCATGAGCTCCTGTTTGTGGTAGATCTGGTTTTCGTGATGATCGAGTTATATGTAAAGAATAGGTTGGATTTTTTGACGATTGAGCAAATTTTGGTAAACGATTTGTTGATAATAATGGTTCAAATTTATTTTGAATTGTGATAAATAATAAACGATCGAACATTTCTATTAAACCTTGATGATATTTAAAATATGTTTCATTTAATAATCTTAATCCATCAGCAATCTAACGAGAGAAAAAAACAGAAATGAAAAATTACAAAAATGATTTTCTTACTTGTTTTTGATCGGTTAAATTCAATGGATAAAATGCTCGATGAATGAGTAAATTAAACCAATTTAATTTTTGTATATTAAATTTAATTGTTTCAACTTCCCATAAATATTCAAGTTCTGGCCTTCTTTCACTATGTAATTGTTCAATAAGACGTGAACTATGTCCAACAGAATTATGCCAATTTGTTATGACTTCAACAGGTAATGGTAACGTATTGATATTTGGTTCACGATGAATAATAATTAATCGACCATGTGGTACTAATGATTTACGTAACATATTGATACATGACATTAATGGACTATAAATACCAGCACTGAAATTTCGACTTCCATCTTTAGTAGTTTCATCAGCTGATGGATTATTTATTAGATGAAGACAATTAAAAACTATGATTCGATCAAATATATTTGATGATAATTGTTCTTTGATAGCATCTAAACAAAATAAATCGAATGACAAACATTCTGCATGGGTACTTGAAATTTATTCGTTAAAATTACGCCGATATTTACTTAGATCTTTTTATGTTTTGTATCGTTCTAGAATACTGAATTTTCAAAAATGTTTATCTGGATAATATAAATTAATCTGTCTTTTTTTTATTTGTTCTCTTGAAGTATTTTTCTTGAGCTTATGAATATTAATGTAACAATCATTGTGAGTAAAAACTCAAGTAAATTAATGAAAGTTGACAATCTTACATAATGTATCAATAATAAATGTTGTATGCGGAAAGAGAAAAAGTTTTATTTAAAAGACAACATATTTTTGTCGTAATAAATTTCTTTAATGTATTTGATACATATAAATAATGTTTTTTGTGTGTTTCAATTCGAAATAAAATAAACCGATCGAACGATTTATTGCAATAATGAAGTCTTACTGAGTAATATGAAAAGCAAAACAAGATTGCAACGAGAATAGTTCTTTCGATCATAAATACGTCTTAAAATCCATTGAAAACTATTACATGCTTTTTCTATAGCAGTACTCATATTCATAAATATAAAAGATAATTTATTATTTGACAACTAATATTCTATAAAGGAAGAAAAAGTTCATATTCTTGAAATATAATTAACCTTCTAAACAACTCTCATATTTCATTTAATAAAAGATTGCGATGTAGAATGAAGAGGAGAAAAAAAGGAAGAAGTTCAACAATACTTTTTTTTGTTATATCTACCTTGATGTAATTTACAATCGATAAAAGACACTGGTTTAATAAGAAATAATTGTTCTTGTATAACTGATGTCCATTCAGGTTCTTCTCCAACTAAACATATACGATCATTACAATTAACTTCAGCATGTTTAGCCAAATAGGTACAAATTTCTTTTTCATATTGTCCACCAAATCGACATTTACTTATTGGATATATTCGTTCGGGATTTGCTACTGTTAAACCAGTTGAGAAATTTATACGCTGAAAATAACGTTCAGCAGCAACAGAATATGGCCGGGGACTTTCAGGTCCTAAATAGGAGGTCATTTCTGTCTCAACTGTTTTCAAGTAATAAAAACTAAAGTCAATGTAGTGAGAGAGAGAATAAATTCAATTTTTCTTTTTGCTTCTTTACTTTTCAGACAGAGCCCTTATTACTTTCTGTTTTTTCTTCTCTCTCCGCCTCGTCTTTTCTTTTCTTTCGCAATAGTGATGATGATAATCAACAACTAAAATATAATATAAATTCAAAATGTCACAATAAAAAAAAAGAAGTCGAAGAAGAAGAAAGAATGTTTTTTGTTGCCAAAAGGTATATTAAAAAAATTTCTTTTCTTATTTTTAATACTGTAAATGAAGAAAATAAAACCAATACAAAATATTAAAAAGCGCAAAACTAAGTGGAAATGCAATGCGAGCAAATACATCTAATTCACTACGACTATTTATACCATAACGAGATGCACGTTTACATATTGCACGTTTATATGCGCCATTGCCTGATAAACAAAACCAAAATCTATAGATATGTAATTGAACACGTGTTAACCATGGTCCATCTTGTATTTGAGTCGTTTGTTGATTCATATTTAGAAAACGTGAATAGGATACAGATGTACGTGTTTTAGAAGTTCTTTTTATACGCATACTACCCCCCTCAGGTACTTCACGACTATCCGTCGAACCTCGATAACGAAGTAATGGTTCACCATAACCAAACTAAATTCAATATAATTCATTGTTAAAGAAAACAAAATATAAAATAATAAAATTAACCTTAGTAAAATAATGTACGAAAGCAAATTGAAGTAATGATGCAAGTAAAAATCCATATGCCATAATAACAAACCAATCAAGTGCTGTTAAATAGGATACAACAGCTGTATAATTTCGTATATCAAAACTTAATGTTGTTAAACTAAGAAAAGTCATTACACCAATATTTACACGATCAGCTGTTGCTTCACGATGAATAAAAAATGATACCCATGATAACATAACTAGCATTGTACTTGGAATATATACTTGTAAAATATAATAACCCATATGTCGTTTAAGAACAAAATCAACGCGAAGTATGGAAAAATTACCTGGAAATAATTCTATAGATTTTATATTATAAAGTTTAGTATACATACGTCCATTCATATCAATAATTTCATTATATTGTGGATATCTAATAAGATCAAATTGTGATAATAAAACTTTCATATCAAAATTAACACTTCTATTATTTCCTAAACGCCAACCATATTGTATATCCAATGCTGAATTTGCAACTACAAATAAAAAAATTAACAAAAAATTCAATTGAATTGTATATGAAATTCTTACAACTTCCAATAAGAAATTTACATATTTGTGTATCAACAGGAAAATTTCTTAAATTCATATTACATCTTGCTTTTACTGTTAATCTACAAAAGATTAAATAATAAACTATTTAAGAAAATTGATTTCTATACATTTACCTTGCTGAATACCATATTGAACCATCAGGAGAAAGTCGCCATAATCGATTACTTGTTGGTATTGTATGTAAATAGGAATGTTTGGAATTATAAAAAATTGTATCTGGCCTCCATAATCTTTCAAGCATACGTGTAGATAACGAAAGTTCACCAACTTCTTTAGCAAATTGAAGACGTTCATCACGCCACCGTTGACGAAAATAACAATTCATTGTAAATGACATATCCATATCTTGAATAGGTCCAAATGAACTAACTAATACATCAAACCCGATTTTTGTTGGACCTTCTGAATATTTTCATTTAAAAAAAGAACTTTGTGGTTTAAAAAAAATATTTTTCTTACCCCCAAAATTGGGTCGAATATTTAAATCATAATCTTTTAAAAGTCCATCAAGAATCGTTGTTATCTGATGTGTACGTCTTGACGCAGCTGTTGTATTAGCATATTCTAATGTGTTATTATCTAATAATTGACTTTTAGTTATTACAAACATAAATAATATCCATCTGACTATATTTACAAACATTTTCTATTTGACTAAAGAACATATCGGATGTTCTCTCTCGCGTTTCTATATATATATATAAATTAATGGCTAGGATATAGACTAATATTTAAAGATATTGCCTAAGGCATCAATTGCATCAATAAAAATAATTACATGCATCGAAGAATCTCGTTTTTTATTATGAGACGACATTCTCTATGGATTCAATGTTGTTAAAAAATGATCGAATAATCGAAAATACTAATTTTTTTTTGTACTCATAAACTTGATTGATTAAACAAAATGATAGATAATCTAGAAGGACATTTCCATACTTCTATCACTATTTATTTATTGTCTTTGAAATATGATCAGCAAACTAATTGTAACCAAAGAAATAATTGAATATAAAAAACAGCTTTTATCTAGACAAGATATTGACTATGATTAAACAAAATTAGTTTTATTTACAAAATCCGTCGACAAAAAAATAACAAGCTTTATCTCGGTGGAAGTTTATCTAAACGAGTAGGAGTCTTTTTTAACCAATACCATCGACCATAATCAGCAAAAATTTCCTCACCAGCGGCTATATCTCGTTTAGCAATAATATAAGCACATTGTTCATCAGGACGTTTATCAAATATAACATTCTGTAATAGACGATTACGTGGATCATTTATATATCTGGCAAGTACAGTTGTATCATCACATGGATCAACATAAACTTGTGGACCAAGTCTCATTAAATAAGATTTATCTTCCAGACGTATAGCATCGATCGTACGAAGTACTTTGCCTGTATAAATACATACACATGAATCTTTTGAAATTGGAATTCGAGTGAATAAACCACAACCTGCGCCTAAATTTAAAAAAAAATATATCTAACCTGACAAAACTCTCGTGATGTTGTTAATAGACAAATAATTATTCTGACATGAATATAATTTGATATGCCTTTTAAAAACTAATTGAATTTATTTACGTCAAAGGTTATATATATACCTGGTATTTGTGATTGTTTTATTTCAAGTTCGACCATTACATCTATAATAATAAAATTATATTTCTGATGTCTAATCTTTCCAATTTAATTTTCATCAAAAAATATGTAATCAAATTGCAATCATATTTTGATTTCATTATATATCTTGTATTAAGAAAAAAAATTAAATTTCTTCTAATGCACATATTTTATTTTGCATGAATATTGCTTAAAACGAATACAATTAGCGACAAGAACATCAAAACAAAAACAAAAAGGGCGATATCACAAAACGATATAATAAGTTAGTTCCGAACAAATACAACAGAAACAATACCAAGTTATTTATTCACCGGTACCTTACACCATAAAAAAAACGAAGACACATGGAATTCCCTAATAAAATACAATTTTTTGATATTTTCGAGAACTTTGTGATATTTAATCTATAAAAATTAATTGATTTTCTTTTTATTTTGATTTGTTTCTTGTTGTTTGTCATTGATTTTATTGTCTCGTTTCGATTTATATATATATGAGCCAAGAAAAAAATGAGCAAATAACAAAAAATATGTGCCATACATAATTAATGATACTTTTAGGTTTTCATCTGTAACTTGACACACTTCACCGTTCTTTTTATATTGCCAAGCTTGTAAATTAATATAACAGCCGATGATCATTTGACTTAGTTGAAGTATTGTTATAATCATTGCTACCCAACGTGGTATACGAAATTTCATTGCACGTAATGCGTAATACTAAAAACAAAGAGAATTTCGTTCGAAATAAAAAATCTATATTTCAAAAGAAATAACTTACGGAATACATAATACCATGGACGACATAATTTAAACCACAAAACCATCTAAATATTTTTAGAAAAATACATAATTTGTTGTTTTTTTGTTTTTCATTTACCTTCCAGTTGAACTGTAATCTTGGTAACTAAACCAACAATAGATCAACACTGATGCATGGTGATACCAATGAAGAAAAATTAATGGTTGTTTACGAAGAACAATGAATACAGTATCGATTAATTCTGGTAATTTTGAAAAACAAAATGCCCATGTCCTACAAAAACATATCAATTGAAATGATATAAGTTTTTTCAAGAAAACATTTTTCTTACCAAAATCCAACGACTCCAAAAGCATTGGAATTATTACAAATTGAGTATTTCATACCATGTGTATAAATAACATAGATTAATTCTGGTAATACTCTCATAGCTCCAAAGATTGAAAATATTGCCAAAAATGTATTCCATGCTGCTAACCATAAACGTAACTCGAATCGTGGTTTATTTTTCATATAAATCTGACCAGCTAGAAATAAAAAATATTATTTTAATTTAATAATATAAATTGAATTAATGTAATTTACTGTATATTAAGAATAAATATGCAAGTGCATAGAAAAAACTATTATGCCAACGTTGGATCATATATGTGCGTAAATCACGTAATGTTTCCATTTGATCGGTGTATCGTTCAAAATCGAATACATAAAATGATAGTGGAAGTTTATCGGTGGATGATAAAACATTATGAGAGTGAGACGATGTTTCGAAAGTTGCTGTTAATGAACTGTTAAATTGCTCAAAATAATTTGAGATGTGTGATACGATAGTAACCATGTTTGATGTTTTAGAAACGCACACACACTCAAGATATCTATAAGAAATTTTAAAAAAAGTTGTATACCGCCATCTTCTATGCAAGAAAAGAAATGCAAAAAAACATCAAGAGAAAACTCGATGTGTCGTAGTTCTTTACTAAAAATAGGTCAAGTAAAGAATATTCTCGTCGTTCCGTTCAATACAGTGTATTGTATCGTTTTTGCGTCTATTATATGAAAATTTGTACCCGCTACGCTTTTATCTCTAACACACTATCTTTGATAAAATCTCATGAATCACTTACAAAAATAGTAGATAAATAATTCTATCTGAATCAACATCGTATGTGTTTTTTTACTCTCATCGAAGAATGCAAAGAGTTATGTTTTTTTCCATCTAGAGGACAAAGGAAAAAAAATTAATCTTCCACCGAAAGATGGCGTATAACGGATACGAGTAAAAACGATTACATTGATAATAAAAATATATATATATTGGTATAAAAAAGAAACCATAGTTTTATATACGTACACCCTAAAAAAGAAAATACATGAAGCGAATAGGAGAAAAAAAATGTGATGTTTTATAATATCTATTCTCAAGCCAATGCGTATATTCTATCCTTCAAATGACGACATAATTATTCTTACTTTCTTTTTCTTCTTTTTACCTAGTAACCATGATATAAACAAACAAATCTGATTACGACGTCTTATTATTTTATATCTCCTCTATAACCCGAAAAAAAAATTATGAAATAACAAAAAATTTATTATACATAACGTGTTAAATATTGTGCGTTTTTGTTCGAATATTGTTTTATACTTTTATTTGCATTTATGATAGAAAAAAAAATGTGCTTATGTTTATTTATTACAGTTCACTGTAAAGATATACGACATCAATGAAATATGTTAACACTAAGAAAAAACAAAATCACATAGCATATTTTTGTGTCCATTCCCGAGCACTCTAAAATAAGAAATAAATAAAAAAGAAAAATTGATGTCAAATTTTCATACTGCATTATATCCTTCGCGATCTTGTTTATATTGTCGAGCAATTTCTGGTACTAATGGATCCTACAGAAAAAAAACAAAATCAAAATTAATAAAAAAATATGAAATTTCGTACATCTGGATTTGGATCACATAATAATGAACAAATTGATAATAAAACTTTTGAAATAGTTAATGCTGGTGACCAATTACTACGAAGAATATCAAGACATATTGAACCATTTGCATTTATATTTGGGTGATAAATTTTTGTTGTAAAACTAAAATTATGTTATGAAATTTTATTGCGGAAAAACAAAACAAATAACAAAAATTAAACCTGATTTTTGGTGGCTTAAACGGATAATCAGTTGGAAAATTTATTGTAAGAAAGAAAACACCGGATTGATAAGGTGAATCGCCTGATAGAAATCAAATTTTTAAAATACATAACTAATATTTGTATGCATACTAGGGCCGAGAATAGTCGCTTGCCAATTAAACATATCAGTGGGTTGAACCTATAACATACAAATTTCTATGATTATTATATTAAGATATTCCTTCTTACTGGTCCAGCACTAACATTAGCTGGTGGTTCACGTTGTAAATCTTGTAATTCTTTTGAAATGCGTTTAAGTGCCATTCTATTCCTATAAATAATTAAATTGAAAATTTTTTAATTTAGATATATTTTTATCAATAATTATATTTTCAAGAAATAAAGAGAGTGAAAAAATGTTTCTTTTAACTAGAGTCGATTAAATCTATGAACTATAGACTCAGATTGATGTAATTAAATTATATCCGGTTCGCATAGATGTATATCACTAGATGCCTTTAGGGCTCGGACTTTTAATATTGTTGTTCTACTCTATTTTGTAATTACATAAATTTTCTACTATATCATAAGATAATGTTTTATTCTAATATATTCATTCGCCACTATCAATGGAATAGTCGAATCATTTATTTCCGGATAACTGTCTGAGTTTCGAATTTTGAAAATCTTCTAGGTATATTGACGATTTTATTTGTAATACAGATTAGAATCTCAGGGTGATATAACACTCGATACATTAGTTGCTTTTACAATGATTCACGTTTGTTACATAGGTAAAAATCATTTTAGTATAATGATTATGTTTTGATATTAATAACTAAAAATATGTCAGGTCTAGGAAGAAGAAAAATGATAAGAAAGAAATTGATACAAACTCTATATAAATGTTTTTCGTTCAAGAAATAATCGTTGTCAAATATCTGAAAATAAAAAGTAAAAGTATAGATTTTATAAAGATGATTGAAAAGATTTATGTTAGGTAACAAAATATGTCGAAATTTGAAGATAGAAAAATTATAAAATAAGTTTTTTCAGTAAATATCTTAACGATACAATCGATTTTTATAAAAACTTAATCTATTAAAGAATAATTTGACAGTTTCATACATTGCCCTACAAGATAACTGATCCAGACATAAACTAATGATTTTGTTTTCATGCCTAATTTATCATTTAATAAAAAATATATTAACGATTGGATCGAATTTCATTTGGGGCTCTCTGTATTAACAAAATTCATGTTTAGAAATATATAAGCCAGATCTCCTATGCGAAGAAGTTATGGATAGTAGATCGACTACGGAGTTAATATTGTTAAAAACGTAATCTATGACCTCGAAACATTTGTGAGACTTCAACAGAATGAGATCATCTGTTTTTGATATCATTGTAATTTCTAATGAGAAAGAAAAACAAGAACATTATATGGATCAAATCGCAATATAAATAATTCAGATATTGTTTATATTTCATTTAAGTATCGAAAATTCTTAAAAACGTGATAACGGATACGACATTGTAAGTACTTGAATACATTCGAAATATTCCATGTTTATTTTATTTATTTAATATAAATTAGTTTTAACGAATTGTATTGCCGTAGGAATGACTTTAATTTTTTTTTTGCAATGGTAAACACTCCTATAATAATAATAAAAATAATAAAATAGAACATATGGGAAACACTTACACGCGTATTGAAAAATTTAGCAGAATAAAAATTTTCTATGTATCTAAAAGGAAAAAGAAATTATGTTTTGACGTAGGCGCTGTGAAAATCTCCACTGAAAATTCGTATAGTAATACTCTGCCATGAATTGCACAACTAGCGACCATTAGTAATGTTTTTTCTTCCTTTTTTCCTATTTCTTTTAACCCAATGATTCAAAGGCCATAAAAAAAAGACTACTATTGTTCTTCCGTTCTTCTCTTTTCTGCTCTTTCTTTTTTGTGTGTTCTTAAATAGCTGAATAACAGTCATTTGTAAATTTTCGTTGAATTTGTTTAATCAAAAAGAAGAAAAAAAAGAAGATAGTGAAGCAGACAAAGACAATAAACACACAGAGACAGTGAGCAAAAGAAGAGCATGATGATAAATAGACAACAAAAAGGAACAGGAAAAAAAAATAACTAAAGAACATTAAATAAATTTTCGTCAAAAGAAAATCAAATCATTGAACTTTAGATGTTTTTTCTTTCTTGTATATAATATATCAATTTATTGTTACTTTTGCTCATCTTTGTTTAAATACACACAAACATCGTACATACATATAGTTACACTCGAATAAAGAAGGGAAAAAAAGAGAGAAAGAAAAAAGATGTTTCTATGTTTGTCCATTTTCATTCGACACAAAAAAAAGAAAAGAAAGTAGAGCTTAAAAAAAGAGAGGTATGCTGTTGTAAATTGATTTATTCATCACTACATGGCATATTTTTGAGTCCACTGCCGCGCCGTCTAAATAGATAAACAATAATATTCATTTTAGGAAATTTTTATTCAATATCAATCATTTCTTTCATACCGCATTATATTTTTCTTTATCCGTTTTGTATGTACGAGCGATATCAGGTACTAATGGATCCTAAAAATAATCTTCATAGATTTTTTTTTCAAATATAATTAAATAGTATTTTACATCAGGATTTGGATCGCAAAGTAATGAACAAATCGAAAGTAAAACTTTAGAAATAGTTAACGCTGGTGACCATTGTGAACGAAGAATATCAAGACAAATAGCTCCATTTGAATTTATATTTGGATGAAAAATTTTTGTTGTAAATCTAAATGAAGAAATTTTCAATCAATAAAAAAACTTCTAAGTTAAACTTACGTGATTTTGGGTGGTTTAAATGGATAATCGGCCGGGAAATGTATCGAAAGAAAAAATACACCACCTTGAAATGGACTATCACCTGGTCCCATTATAGTTGCCTGCCGTATATATAGAAAAAACAACAACAATAAACATCTATTATTTATCAGTAATTAAAACACTTATAATGAAACATGTCATCATTGACTGGACCGGCACTACAATTAGCTGGTGGACTAAAGAGAAAAAAAATGAAAAGTAATAATTCCTTTGTTTGAAAAAAAATTTATTAGCTTACTCTTTTTCAAGTTCAAGTAATTCTTTATTAATACGCTTCAATGCCATTCTAAGAGATGAAATCAAAATCGGATATACTAGAGAATCAGATCAAAATTTAAAATATTATTGTTTTGAAAGAATGATCTAGAAGAGACAAAAATGTGCGTTTTGCTTCTTTTTTTTTTGACGCAAAGGGTAACACAAGACAACAATAACGAGAAGAAAAAAGGAGAAAGATTGCGACAAGCATTTGGTAAAGATGAAGACGAGTTTGCCCGTAACACGCTGTAATAGTAGAGAAAAAGAAAAAAAAATCGACAGCATAGACGACGATAATATAGGGGCAGTAGGGGTGATGATGAAGAAAGAGAGAAAAAAAATCATTGAATTGTTCTTACGGGCCCTCAATATACGTCAGATGATTGGATATTGAACAAAAAGAAAAAAATATAAACAAATAATAAAGCAAAAGAAAAACAAACAAATAAATAAACAAAAAAGTTTGTTTTATTTATGAAACTATATATATTATAGGAAAATATGGAAAAATTTTTTGAAATAAATTTTATAATTATTCAAATAATTGATCGGTACTTCAAATTTTCATTGTATATAATAAAAAGTTATCTACTGAATAAATACTTAGTTTTAACTAACAGTTCTTTTCTTTTGTCTCCTCTTTATGTTTCATCATCATCATCATATATTTATTATATACTTACATGGATAAATACATTTTATACGCCCAATAAACACGTGATACACAAGTTGTATGTGGCGATATTTAGAAAAATAATGATATTTTATTACGAAAATCTTTATTTTTCTATAGAAGAATTTATTATTTTATATAAGAATTAAAAATCTTATATAAATGAAATTAAATTTATGATAGAGGAACATTGGAAAAGTAAATGACTTCCAATAATGACGTCATTGAAAAACGAGCTGTACTCAACCTTTCCATATGTTCTTGTTTTTCCATGCAAAAAAGCAAAAAAACAAAGATTTCAAACTTAATTTTTTATTTAATTTTTCTTAACAACTTCATATATTTTAGATGGAACGACTTGTTTCATCGGTATCTCGACCATCGATTGGGTCGATACGATGTTTACCACAATTGATGCTAAATGTTCGCGGTGCACATAAAGTCCATCGTGAATCATTTCTTAATGCATCTTCATCAAATTATATCGATGAAATGTATGAACAATGGTCTAAAGATCCTCATTCAGTACACAAGGTAGATTTTAAAATTAATTTAGAAAAAACGAAATTATTCAAATTTTCGTTTTTAGTCATGGGATCTTTATTTTCGTAATCAAGTTTATCAACGACCTCCTACACTAGGAGTTAATCCACCATCACCAGCTTTAACTCAATATTATCAAATGACAGGTTTTCTTCAACAACAACCAGCTGCTGCTTCTCAACAACAAACACAATTACAAACAATTAGTTCAGGCACTGGTGGCGTCCAAGAAATCCCACTTGATATGAAAGCTATACAAGATCATATGGCTGTACAAGCACTTGTACGATCTTATCAGGCTAGTATTTCAATAATCATATTGATTTTTATAAATCAATTGACAAAAAAAAAATAATGACAATTTTGTAATAAAATATCCTCTTCCAGATGCGTGGTCACAAAATAGCACAACTTGATCCACTTGGTCTTTCATCAGTTGATCTCGATGCTGAAAGACCCGAAGATTTAACACCTAAGTTTTATAATTTCAGTAAGACTTTTTTTTAAAGCTCTTATTGTATATCTCTAGTTGAGATTTAATTTTTAAATCCAAAAAAAAATATGTCGAAGAAATTTAAAAAAATAACAAGTTAGTAATTATTTAATTTTAGCTTTATGGACATCATGAAGCTAAACTTGATCCACTCGGTATACTGGAAGCTGATTTATCTGGTGAACGACCTGAAGGAATAAGTTTATCTTCACATAAATTGAGTAAGACGTGAGAGTCAATAAAAAGAAATCCCCGTGCTTGCTGTATGTGTTTAAATAGCATAAAATTCAATCTCAACTAGAGATATACCTTTTGTTTTTGCATGTTGTTGTAGTTATATATAAAAACTAGAAAATATAATGTATTTTTCTTAAAATTAAGATGAATCTGATCTTGATCGAAAATTTATTCTTCCACCTATAACATTTATTGGTGGACAAGAAAAAGAACTTTCTTTACGTGAAATTATACGACGATTAGAAGTATGTAAAAATGCTTTTTTTTTGTTTCTTATCTTGATCGATTATTTATTTTTGTTTTTTTCTATATAGGATGTTTATTGTCAAACGATCGGTTTGGAATATATGTATATAAATAGTTATGAAAAATGTAATTGGATTCGACAAAGATTTGAAGATCCAGAACAGAAAAAATTAGGAATTAAAGATATTGAACGAGCAGTTAAACGACTTATTCGAGCATCAAAATTTGAAGATTATTTAAAGAAAAAATGGAGTTCAGAAAAACGTTTTGGTCTTGAAGGATGTGAAGTTTTAATACCAGCTATGAAAATGGTTATTGATACAGCTGCAGGCAAAGGTGTTGATACCATCATTATGGGCATGCCACATCGGTTTGTTTTCATTTGGAGTTGAAAAAATAAAAATAAAAAATTTATTCATTTAGTGGTCGTCTTAATGTACTTGCAAATGTAACACGTAAACCATTAGAAGAATTATTTTGTCAATTTGATCCAAAATTAGAACCATCAGATGTGTCAGTAAGTATACGAAAAAAAATGAAAAGAACTTTTTTTTTAATAATATTTTCATATCATATTAATAAGAAAAAGACACCTAAATCTTATATTGTCGTAAGTTTTTTTTTTAAATTTTCCTATCGATGTTACGCATTTATTTTACACTCGTCATTATTGACGGATTATTTGGGACACCTATCCCTATTTAAACCTTCGTAACGTTTCGTCGGAATTAATCTTTTTAGTAGTTATTTATTCAAATAATAATTTATTTTCTATAAAAACTAATTTAGGGAACTGGTGATGTTAAATATCATTTGGGTACATGTATTGAACGTTTAAATCGTGCATCAAATACAATGGTTAAATTTGCTCTTGTTGCTAATCCATCACATTTAGAAGCTGTCGATCCAGTTGTACAAGGTAAAACTCGTGCGGAACAATTTTATCGTGGTGATAAAGCTGGTGATAAAGCTATGAGTATATTATTACATGGTGATGCAGCATTTGCTGGTCAAGGTGTCGTTTATGAAACCTTTCATTTAAGTGATTTACCAGCTTATACTACTCATGGTACTATTCATATTATTTGTAACAATCAAATTGGTTTTACAACAGATCCACGTATGGCTCGTTCAAGTCCATATTGTACTGATGTAGCACGTGTCGTCAATGCTCCAATATTTCATGTTAATGCTGATGATGTAGCATCAGTTTTACATGTTGCAAAAGTAGCTGCAGAATGGAGATGTACATTTAAAAAAGATGTTGTCATTGATCTCGTATGTACTATTGAAAAAAAAATCTTTTAAAAAACAAATTATAAATTTTTAAGGTTTGTTATCGTCGTCAAGGCCATAATGAAACTGATGAACCTATGTTTACGCAACCATTTATGTTAGTTAATTAGACAAAAAAAACCCTTCTATTTTTATTTTTAATTTTCTTTATTACTTTTAAAGGTATAAAAAAATTCATAAACAAACGCCTGTATTGAAAAAATGGGTCGATCAATTAATTAGTGAAGGTACAATTAAACAAGATTGGTATGAAGCCGAAGAAGCTAAATATCAAAAGATTCTTGATGATGCCTTTGCAAATTCTAAAAGTCCTGCTTATGCTAAAGATAAAAATTGGCTTGATTCACCATGGAAGGGTTTCTTCACTGGAAAAGGCCCTTTTCCATATCCTAAAACTGGTATATCTGAAGAAACTCTTAAAACTATTGGTGTTAAAGCTCATGAATTACCTGAAGGTTTTGCTCTTCATCGTGGTCTTAAACGTGTTTTCGAAAATCGTGCTAAAATGTTACAAGAACGTGAAGTTGATTGGGCATTAGGTGAATCAATGGCAATAGGTAGTGTTTTATTAGATGGTCATCATGTTCGTATAAGTGGTCAAGATGTTGAACGTGGAACATTTTCTCATCGTCATCATGTTTTACACGATCAAGATAAAGATTTAGTATTTCATGTACCAATGAATTATCTTAGTCCAACACAAGGTCATTATACAATATGTAATAGTTCATTATCAGAATTTGCTTGTTTGGGTTTTGAACTTGGATATTCAACAACAAATCCAAATTCACTTGTTATTTGGGAAGCACAATTTGGTAAGAAAACTATTATTTTCTATGATTTATATATATATATATACTTTAATTTAGGTGATTTTGCTAATACTGCTCAATGTATTATTGATCAATTTATTTCAAGTGGACAAGCAAAATGGGTTCGTCAAAGTGGTATTTGCCTTCTTTTACCACATGGATATGAAGGCCAAGGACCAGAACATTCATCAGCACGATTAGAACGATTTTTACAGGTAAACTTGATATAATTTATTAGATTCAATAATTTGACATTTAAAATCCGCATACTTTTGACCTTAAATTTTAATTAAACTACAATATACATATGTATGTATAATTTAGATGGCTGACGAAGATGAAGATCAAGTTACAGAGATCAAAGAAACAAAACATCTTCATCATAATGATCTTGCTATGTATCAATTAGATGATGTTAATTGGATAATAGCACATTTAACAACTCCAGCTAATTACTTTCATATACTTCGTCGTCAATTAGCACTTCCATTTCGTAAACCATTAATAATGATGTCACCAAAATCATTACTTCGTTTACCCGAGTGCCGTTCATCATTTGACGAAATGACTACTGGTAAATAATATCTTCTATCATCATGTATATATTTATTTATTCGACTAGGTACAACTTTTAAACGTATCTACCAAGAAGAAGGCGCTGCATCACAAAATGCTTCGGACGTTAAAAAAATTATTTTCTGTTCAGGAAAAACTTATTATGACTTATATAAAGAACGTGCAAATAATAAACTTGATACAGAAATTGCTATTGTACGTATTGAACAATTATGTCCATTTCCATTCGATGAAATTCGTAAAGAATTGGAAAAATATAACAATGCAAAAGTATGTTTTGCACAAGAAGAACATAAAAATATGGGACCGGTTAGTTCATTTCAAAATATATATACATTTACTGAATAAAATAAATATTTTCTTTTAGTATACGTACTGTAAACCACGTCTTGCTTGTCTTCTTCGATCAATGAACGATGCACGAGCTGGAGAAATAAAGTAATTTATTTTCTTATATTTAATTTTTTATATCTGAACTTTTTTTTATTAAAATTTATTTATTTCTTTAGTACATGGTAAGTTTATTTTTGTAAGAATGTTTCATAATACTTGTTTTGTCGTAGTGTCACATTCTCGCATGTGTCCTTTAATCATTCTACATGCGCATGAATAATGTTTTTCGGAGTTTTGAATATCTATTTCGAGAAAGATATATATATTTATAACAGCTCATATCTTTTGTTTCTTTCGTGTATTTCCTATACAAGCTTGTATAGAACAAATTTTTAATATAATTCATTTATTTTGTTTTAGTTATGCTGGACGAGAGGCTGCTGCAGCAACAGCTACGGGTATTAAATCAAGTCATTATTTGGAACAGAAAACTTACATGCAACAAGCAATGGCTTTTTAACTCATTATCGAACATTTACCCTTTTCATTTCCTATTCTCTTATCTAAATTGTTTAGTTTTTTTCCGATATCCTATTTTCGTGTCAGTGAGAATAAAAGAAGTTTAGCTTATAGACAAACCAGCACTAATTTGTTTATGAATAGAAATGCTTATATTTGATACATATCTATATATATATATATATATTTAATTTTTATTATTTTATCTGGTCGAATAAAAAGAAGAAACAAAAAAAGCTGATCATGCTGCCCCCTGATCGTTCTCATTCATATATTGAGAAGCGAATCTATCTACACGTATTTTCGTTGTTGAATACATTTAAATAAAAACATTTCTCTCCTAAGCAAGACAGAAAAAAACAAGCGTAACCACAACAAAACGAGAGAATGAATATCTGAACAAGACGCAAGAATAAAAAAAAAAGATGAATGAAGAACGATTGAATTTTTTTGGCTTTTACAAAAATGAAAATTATTATTATTATTATTTAAAAATAGTTTAAATAGTATGATTATTTTATATCAGGCGGTTGAAAAGGTGATCGAGATTTTATTGTCGAACCATTTTCAATATTTTGCGGGGATGTTGGTTCAGAAAATTCACCTGGAAAACTAAATATTCCGGATGTATCCACAAGAATTTCACGCGGTTTCGATGTTGGTCGAACAATAACACGACTTTTTTCACGTTTACGATCAGCTGCAGTAAGATTTAATACATTGCATGGTTTTGACAGCGTACCTAGATAAAAATTATGAAATACATAAGAATATAATTACTTCTATTGAATCAGGTCAAGGTTTCTTTTTTTTCCTATCTCAGAATATCTGGTTACTTCAATTAACTAGATAAATTTATTGAAAAATGACTCGACAGTTAAAGCAGTTTTTATAAAGTGCAAAATAAGCATCTTAAGATATTTATCTATTGTTAATGCTCAAAGCTTCATGAAAAGTGCATTTCAAGTATTTAGAAAACATGAAAAGCAATAACTAAAAAATCATTTAGAAAGAAAAATGAATGTGAAAATATTCAATCTATAATTAATACATAAATGAGAGTATACATATATTGATACATATATGTGAAATGAAAGCATTACCGTTTCGTGCATGCATTCGTTGCATGAAATCTTTGCGTTGTGCTTTTTTGTTAGCTTGATGATGGTGTTTTACGACAAAATCAATATCTATGATGAAGAGGAGGCACAAAAGCAAATTGATCAAGCAGACAAAAAGTGAAGGAAAACATATACATATATAAACAGTTAAATATATGATATTATTTAAATGAATATATATATATTAAAGAAAAGAAGCAAGAATTATTGATATCTACCATTATACAAGCGTGAAAGAGATCCATCCATTTTACTACCTAGTCCTCCTTCTTGAAAACGAAGAAAATATATATAAAAATTTATATTATTTAATTCTAACCTGTACTTGATGTTGAATCACGTCGGACTTTTTCAGTCTTTTCAAATCGTTCGATTATTTGAGTTTCTATGGGCGAAAGATTAATTAATGAAATATAAGAGTTTTCTTTACCTGTAACACATAGAGGACGTTTTGGTAAACCGGCTGTTGTCGTACCAGTATCTTTTGTTTCAGGACGAACTAGGAAAAGTTTTTCTATGAATATATCAGATACTTGTTTTTAGAAATCTACCTGGTTTTGGTGTTGGAATATAAAGATCTTCTGTTGATGTTGTAGCATCATGGAAAATAATTTTTAATGGTACTGGTGCTGGTGGTGGAGGTGGAGGCGGTGGTGACGGCGGTGGCTCACGTTCAACTATTCAATAGTAAATATTTAATGAACAATAACAACACTCAAAAAAAAAGAAGAGATTGATTACTTGGTACAATACGTTCAGGAGTTTTATGATAATTATAATTATAATTATATTGAAAATGTTCTTCACGACGTTCATCAACACATTTTGACCATCGATTTTCTTTTTGTTGATGTCGTGTATCTAAGTCAAATTTGTAAAAGTTATGTATACAGTTATGTCAACTTTTGAATTTGATACTTGAAAAAGTAAATATAAATATTTTTCAATTTTTACCTGTTGATTCTTTGTATAAATCAAAACATGATGAAGGTCGATTTCGTATTTTTAGTTGTCGAATAGGTGGTGATGGTGTGCGCACAAATGAAACCATATAAGGTGGTGGTGGTGGTCGACGTTGTTGTTCTTCTATCGTCACAGTTTCTGTTAAAAAAACAAGATTATTTTTACTTAGTAAGTCATCATTTGAATATAGTATACCTATTTTTTCAATTAGAACTTCTCTTGAAGCAACACGATGTATGGGTCGACGTGGTGGTGGTGGTGGCGGTGGTGGAGAAAAACAATATGAGTTATAATTAGCATTGGGATAATGCACAGCTATTTTAATTATTCAAAGAATTAAAATAATTAAATGATACTTTAACTTACTAAAATACTCTCGTTTATATCTTCGACCTGATGAACGACTTCGATGACGATGTTGTTGTTCTTGTTGTTGTTGATGATGATGATGGTGATGGTGATGACGATGATGATGATGAAGTGAAGCAAAATCACTTTCTATACAAGGAATATCATCAAAGAACGATGCTGGCTGAGGTTCAAATGGATCGAATGGTTCTGTTAAAATCACTGATAGTGGACGACCATTATAATGTTGTGTATAACACATATCATTATAGTCATCATCATAAAAAAAGCTACCCATTCAACAATAGTGCCACTAAAATCCAATCTAGAGATAAGAACAAAAAAAAGAAGAAAAAAAACCGCAATTGCTACTGTGCTTTCTTAACCGATGGTATTTGAATATTGAATAATGGATACATGTATATTATATTCTTCAAATAGATTGTATGTAAACACAAACAAAAAAAAGATGATTAAAATTATTGAAAAAATTGACAGAGAGAGAGAGAGAAAGAACAGAAGAAGAAGAAGCGATGTGAAAAAAACTAATATTTCTCTCTCTCCCTCTCTTACTCGATAATATTATGTTGTTGAGAAGGAACGCACACTTTTTTCTGTCTCTGTCTTTGTCTCTCTCTCTTCAAACTTGACATTGAATTAAAAATTTGACGATGTGAACGTAAATATATGCAATACACAATAGGATGTAGTTTTACGTCGGGAGTATGCGTGTGAACAAAGGGAAACGCATACGACTCGTCGATAATGTTGTCGTGTGTGTAAAGTTGATCCGGAGCAAATGTTCTTTATATTTCTGCGGTTTGTATGCGTGTGTATGTGTGTACTTATGTATACCTGCTTTTTCTTCTTCTTCTCCTCCTTCTTCTTCTTCTTCTTCATTCTTTCTCTCTCTCTCTTCTTCTGTCAAAAATTCTGTGTACTTTACTATACAAAATAATCTTTTATATAAGTAATTAGCACGTGCACTTCTTCATTTATGTATGTATACATATATGTATATATATATCAGTTTGGCATTCGTTTCGATTCTTTGAAGTATGTTTTCAAACTATGCTAACGCAATGATAAAGTACGTGTTACTTGTACATTTTACGATAATCAACCAAGATGAAACAATGACTGACATAATTTTCTCGATATGTATGTTGATAATCTCAGAAGATGTGGTGAATAGCGCGTATGTATGTGAATGCTTACGGATGCAGTTATAAAATAAAGATTCAAGGTTATTGTGTACAGGATGTATAAATCTCGTTATTTGCAAATCGGATCGATGATTGTCATATAAGCGAGAAAAAATAAGACCTTACACAAATTGTTTTATCAATCTTATATATATATATAGTTGTTGTTATTGTTTACCTCAAATAGCAGCCGAGATAAACGTCAAAAGCCTAATCTTTTTATTCGTATTTATTTTCTCACTCTTCATTTTTCTTCTCCTATTTAAGCTCCTCGTTTTTTTTTCCTATTTTTTTTCTAATACAACCAGACAAACATTTATTATTCTCTGTTCCATTCTTTGCTAACTAAATACTAGGACGAGATACGTATGGAATTTGCCTACGAAAAGAAAAAAAAAGTCCAAAACAGTAGTGATGATGATTATTGTTATTATTGTATTTCAGGTGTGTATATATGTACTAATAACAAGGAGAATGTGATATTAAACTACCCACATACCCGATATACATGATGATGACGGCTTTTGATGTCGAGACATTTCTTCTTGAAAATTAACAAACGAAACGCAAAAGGGAGGACCTTGTTATGTCTCTTTTCTTCTTTTTCTATTTACTTGAAGATTGAGAATGAATAGAAGAAGAAGAAGAAGAAGAGAAGAAGAATACGAAAGTTATGATACTTGATGGTAGAGATCAGTGTTCGCTGATTGTGAATGTATGAATATCATATATACGTTCAAGTTGTTTCAATATCGATTTTGATCATATCTCTTTCTACTTTTTGGGTCGATCAATTTTTTAAGTAAATGCACATTTATATTTATACCCAAAAGCCGTTTTTAATTGATTTTATATATACATATATATACGTATATGAATAAACATTTTCAAAGTCTTCTCATGGTTTTTTTTCGTTATCGAATGAACACAAAAAAAAGAATATAATAATAACATGCTTAGTATTCATTTCGACTGTATTAATATTTTTTTAATCTTGTCAAAAATAAAATAAAAATAAAATGATTGATATACGTATGTGCGTGTCTAGGTTTATACCAGTTGTTGCTTGTCTGTCGCCAAATGTCTATTGAATAGAATTTCAAGGCTCTACGTGCATACATTTAAAATACCCGAGAATCTTGTTATAATCATTTTAATATCATAATGTATTCTCTTGTTGTCACTTAAGAAAACAACGAAAAACACTAGCTAATAAAGTCATTTTTGTTCAAATTAAGTAGAAAATTTTTATTCTCATGCAACAATGAGCACATTATGTAATGAGCTAATAAAAAAAGAAGTTTTTTTTTATCAGTTGACACTTATTTAAGACATTAAAAAAAAGTAATTTTTTCTTCTAATAACACAAATTAAGAAATCGATTCCTTAATAAAAACCATTTTCTCATATTTTACACATAGCGAGATAAAAAAGGGACTTGAAAATGTAATTAATTCATTATAAAAAATCTTGGAATAGTCAAGTATGTTGTATTAAATCACATCATCTTCATTTATCTAAAAGCTAATTAGTCTTTATCATAAACTAAGTAGATCTAAGAACAAAGGAGTTAAGCTGTTCTATTCATAATAGAATCAAATCCAAGGTAAGAAAAAACTTTTATCTAATTTTCAAACCACACACTGTAACATTCCAATTTATTTAATTCATCTCTATTTTTTGTGTATGGTCAAGTAACAATGTTGTACAACAAAAATGAAGAAAAAAAGAGAAAAAAAATAGAAATATCTATCTGTTTGAATGTTTAAGTACAGCAAATAAAAGATCAATGAAAAAAAAAGAAAAGAAAAATCAAATGAAGTTATGCCATCAAGAATAAGAGAAAAAAAATCAATTCGTCTACCACAAAGGAGAAGAAAGACAAGACTTATAATCTTTCACGAACAAGAAAAGAAAAAAAAGGTATCAGACGGTAGATTGAAACCCGTTTATACAACACATAAATACGCAACAGAACAAGAACGAACAAGATAATAATTAAATATCATTTATAAGATGAACGAGAAAAAAAATTGAATTAATAAGAATGAGTATTTGCCGATTCTAATCCTTCACCCAATTTATATACATAAACTTTATAATCTTTTGATGCCATTGCTAATTCATCATTAAATCCAACTGCAACATCGAAACATTGAGAATGTTTCATAAGCTAAATAATTTTAAATAAATAAAAATTTATTTTGTATAAAACAAATTATTTACTGAATAATGCGAATATTTTTTATTTCCATCATAATCATATGTTGATATATTGAAATTTTCATGGTTATCTACAACAATAAGTTCACGTCGTGGTTGATTCTAGAAAATAGAATTTATATATATAATGAATTATTTATGAGTAACTTACAATTCGACATGCTATTGGATAAGTAATACCAGCTCCAATATTTTTCAAATGTTTACCAGTATAATCAAATACTCGAACAAAATGTGATTCATTATCGCTAACATAGAGTTCATGTCGATCATTGACACAGACACTTGTCGGAAAACTCAAATGATCGCGTAAATCACATTGTCCCCATAGACGACCTGATGATGCATCATAAATATGTACTAGAAAATAAAAATTTATATATTTATTTTTTTTTCGAAATAAATTTAATTAACCTTTCATTATTTTTGATTCAATAATAATAATTCGACCTTGTTGATCAATACAAATAGCTCGTGGACTTTCAAGATCATTACCGAAACGACGAATAAATTGGCCATTTCGATCAAATATTTGTATCATTGGTCGTGGTGAACGTTGAACCATAACAAGCTAAATTTATTGTATTTTGAAAAAATAATTTTAAACAATTGTTTTCTTACTAAATCATGTCCTGGTAAAATAGCAACACGATATGGATAAAGTAATGCACCAGGTCGTGTTCCAGCTTGACCAAATTTTAATACACATTCTCGTCGAATAGGATCAAATAGTTTGACTTGACTTGAATTTGTATCAACAACTGAAAGAGTACCATCAGATAAATATGCGATACCATTTGGCTCAAGAAATTCATTCAAACCACGACCATAACCACCAAATTTATATTCATCTAATAGAATAACAAAAACATTTACAAATCTCTTTTTTCTATTTGTTATTTACATGAAGTAGGAAATCTGGATGATGTTTGATTACTTGTTCGAGATGAACCACGATGAGATTGATCGATACTTGATCGATTCATTGTCGATTGATAGTTGGATACAAAATCTGTTTCATTGTCCATATTAAATTCAGTTGCAGATGGATCAAGTATTGATGAGCATTTCAATCGTTGATTAAATGGCGATGGTTCATATGAATGATAACCACTTGTACTAGCAAGTAAATCACCTGATGATGATGATCCAGTTAATGCTTCTTAATAAGTAAATTAAATTTCGATTATTTTTTTTTCTAAATAGACCAAAAAAATAGTTACCGAAAGTAATACCAGCTTGTTCAATAATTGATAGAATATCATCATGATTATCATCAATAGTTGTACAAATATTTCCTGTTAATGCATCAAGTGTTGATGATTCATTTAAACTTGTATTAGCACTACTATGACGAAGTAAATAATTCGAATTATTTATTGATGATGGATTAAGCATATGAGATCGATTGGGTTCAAATAATTCTCGACATTCAGTCCATGCATCATTTTCATTCTCATCATTTTCAATTGTTATAACTGGTGCACCTAATAGAAAAATTTATAGTGTTTTTCTTCTAATAAAATAAATAGTCTTATTTACCACAAAGTGATTTCCATCGACGATCATCATCGATAATATTATTTGTTTGAAATTTTTTATTAGATACATCCGAAAAAAGTTTACGGATTGGTGATGATGATGATGTTGGTAAACAAGAGTTCATCGAAGATTTTAATTCACTCATTAATATTTAATACTCATACAATACAAACACAGACTAGTAATGAATATGTACAATAAATAATAAAAAATGACGATCCGACTGATCGTAATAAACAGAAAGCGAGATAAAGTCTATGACTATAGTCGAAAATTTACATTTCGATTTTTCTCGAAAAAGTAAAGAACGATCTAGGTACTATGTCATACGCGGACGATTTGAGAATTAGAAAAATTCAAAATGATTCGCCGTATTTGAAATAAAAGATCAATAGAACATTTCATAAAGTTAACTATGATGCAATATTAGTCCGAAAGAGTTATAATATAAACACGTGATCGTAATAAATTATTTATCTCTTCTGCTTATGTATGAAATAACTTTTAACTAGATGAACTCTATTTTATTTTTACTGAATGTACTGTACTAGAAATAAATGCTTTTTTTCAAAATTTAGAATAAAATATTTCGATAAAGAAAAACAAAATTTTGTTATCATTACAAAGACATTGAACTATCCAATTCAAATTTGATCGGAAGATCCAATCACTGAATTCTTGCTTCCATCATCCGTTCACTTCTGATAGTTTTTCCGACCGATCCCAATAAAATTCAATATTATTACGATAAACATTCTTCAATATAAGTTTCCAAAAGATTTAATTGTATTGACTTACATTTAAAATACTCAAAAATTGTTCTTATTTCACGAACAACTAGATATATATTTTTTCACAGTGAAATTTAACCATATTTTCTCACTCTATAATCATTTTAAAGTAGCGACACAGTTTTAACTTCACTTCTTCAATCAAATCAGAAAGAAAGAAAAAGAAAAGAAACCATGCCTATATTGTTGTTGTTGTTATTTCTTTTTTTTCTCATTCTCATTGATGGAAGTCTATTTAAAAGAACTAGTTGATGTCAACAAAAAAACTAACGATGATAATAATGAAATTTCTATTGAATTTCGAGATGAAATATTTACATATGATACATACGATATGAATAATTATACTGAAATTGAACAACGTCAAATAATTGAACGATTCTTTTTTAAATATATTGATTTAATTGATGATTCTTCTATATTTAATATTATACTTAATCATCTTTATGCTGGAAATTATAGTATTTTATCAACTAATATAAAATCGTATTTATTTGAAAGCCTAGAACTTTGTTCACCAAAACAATTTCTTCCATGGATATATAAAACTCTTGAAAATGAAGAAGAAATGTTTGAAATAAATATTCAAACATTTACAACTTATGTTGATACAAAAAAAAAGCGTGGTTCAACAAATGGTGAAATACGTTATACAATACTATGTGAATCATCAACAAAATTACTTGAATTAATTTTAAGTAAAATTTCACGGGATCAATTAACATCAAAACAAGTATGGTTAGCAGTATTTCGTCTTAAACAACAATTATCATTGACAAGTTTACAAAAAGATATATTTAATGAATGGCTTGGAATTGTTTAGGGAAATTTATTGTTTTAAAAGGTATTCATATAAAGTCCAAGCAGTTGCAGCTACAAGTGTACGACGAGATGCTCGAAGAAGAAAACCACGTGCAAAACCAATTAACCCATCTGTCTATTTAAATAAAAATTATATTTTTTTGTTTTGAAAAAGAAATTTGAAGATAATATATACTTTTATGATAGATTTAACTGTCATATAAACATTTTTATAATCAGCTGGAGCTACTTGTCGGTAAGTTTTAATAACATCAGCGGGTTGTGTTATAAATGAAGCAATTAAACCAGCAGCAACACTAATTGCTGCTTGCGATGTGAACCAATTTCTATTTGATGATAGATCTATTTTAAATTTCAAAACAAATAAAGAAATATAAGAAGAAGAAAATGATTTCTTACTAGTATCATCTGACATATTATCTTTTAATTTACGATAAGACATATAATAAATACCGGAAAATGGAAGATCACGTGCTAAAGTCGGTAGAAGACCAGTATAAAAACCTAAAAAAGGAAATGATGATATATATATTTCATTAAATCAAGAGTGAAAGATTAACCTTTTAAACCCTGCGTCGAATATACATGTTGAATAACGGTAATCATACTCATTGTTGTATATCGAGAACTCTAAAAAATGATATTTAAGTTTTATTGATATAAAAATTTGTATTTACTTCAAGTCTAGCTTTGATTAATGTAAATGGAAAAACAACTAGATCGGCTGCACCTCGAGCTAAAGCACCACAAAGTCCATTGACAAGAAATGTTTGTTTCTTTTTTCTAATATTAAATATGTATTAAAAAAGAAAAGTACGAAAAAAGATTTTTCTTACGGTATTTTTTCTTTAACTAAATTAAGTAAATGAAAATAAAGAGCACTACCAGGTACAGCACGAAATAACGACTATAATGAAATAAAAAAGATGTTAGATCTTCAATGAAACTATTTATCCTACAATATCGAACCGGTGTTAATCCACGCCATAGACGAAATGCTGAATATTGTTTAATAGTATGTTGTGTTATTGATCGTATCGAACGTTTAGAGATTCTAATTAGAATTTAAATTTAAACTTTCTATTCATAATTAATATATATATCGTTATACCCATTTTTGGGTTCTTGTATTTGAGTTTTAAGAAAATCTAAGGGTTGATATAATGTAGTTGTTATAAATGCACTTGTTGCACCAGCAATCAATGGATAAAAACCGGATTTTGATACTGGACTAAACAAATCAATATTTTAATTTTTAACAAATAAAATTTTTCATCACACCTTGTAGTCATTTTCTCAAATCTAAAAATCGACAAAAAAGAGATCAATTTTATTTGTCAGATTTATGTTTATTATAACATTTAAAAAACAAAAAAAAATAGTATAAAGTTAACAAGAACAACAAAATTTAGCATAGTGCTAATAGTTAGGTTTCATTTCGGAGCTAATGGAGCACACTGGATATGATTTGTATCTATTACTATTTCCGATAATCTTTTCTGGATTGAATTTAATAAATAAAAGATCATCATTTCCATTTATTATTCGATAAATTGTTGTTATTATCAATCGAAAATTGCTTTTTTGATTTTTTGAAAGAAACCTTCTTTTTCTTTTGGTTTTTCCGCTAAAAAAAACAATCAAGTAAAACGATTTTATATATAAATATAAAATTATATTACGTGTTTTAGTTTTTGATGAACCATTTACTGTTCCTTCAGTATCTTTGTCATGTTCAGCAAATGATAATAATAATGTTTTTTGTTCATTTGTTAATCGTCTATAATGAACAAGCAATTTCTCATGAAAAATAATAATTATAACAAAAAAACATACGTAGGAATTTTGATCTTTACATGAACATAATGATCACCTGTTCCTGAACCTTGCAGACGTTTTATACCTTTACCAGCTAAACGAAAACGTTGATGAGATTGTGTACCAGGCGGAATCTTAAAAAATTTTATGATCATTTTTATGTAAATAGTTAAATTTGGTTTTTTACTTGTAACTCATGTTCTCCATAAATTCCTGGTACTTTAACTGTTCCACCAAGTGCAGCTTGAGCAATAGTTATATTTATATCACTATGAATATCTTCTTTATCGCGACGAAATTTTTCACTAGATTTAACACGAAATGTAACATATACTTCGGATATACCAAGATTAACTCTCATCGCCTGTCCTTCTTCCACACCTTAAGAAAACACAAATACAAAATTTCAAAGCGCTTTAATTAAAATAAATCATTACCAGCTGGAATTGGTATAGTTACAAATTTTTTTTGTATTGTTTTTCCTTTTCCTGAACATTCATAACATGGTTTAGCAATAGTTTCACATCGACCATGACATGTTCGACAAGTAGCACGTAAGAAAAATGGTCCAGTTTCAATTGTTTCCATGCCTGTTCCATTACATGTTCGACATGGTTGAGGTTTAGTACCAGCTGCACATCGAGTACCACCACAAGATGGACATACATCAACAATTCGAACATTAACATCTTTATTACAACCAAGAACTGCTTCTTGAAATGTTAAATCAAGTGCTAACTATATATTTTTAAAAATTAAGAATAATTTTAGAGGAAAAAGTAAATCTTACTTGACTTATGCCTTGTCTACCAAATTTATTCTCTTCCGGTTCATCCATCCAATCATGATTACCAAAACCACCTCGATTAAATGCATCACCAAAGATTTTACGAAATAATTCTTCAGGATCAACTTGAGATTGATAATATTCATAACCACGAAAACCACCTTGTTTTGGATCAGTTGAACGTCCACGAACATCAGCACCGGGATATGATTCTTGACTAGAACTAAATGGATCACTACCCATACCATATGTATCATAATTCTTTCGTTTAGTTTCATCACTTAATACTTCATAAGCTTCTGAAACTTCTTGAAATCGTTTTGTTGTTGCTGCATCTTTCTTATCTGTTGTGTCTGGATGATATTGTTTTGCTAACTAAATCATACTTAACAATTATCTCGATAATTAATCGTTAGAAAAAATACATACTGAATAATAAGCTTTTTTAATATCTTTTGCAGTTGCTGTTTTTGATATGCCTAAAACATCATAATAATCTTTTTTATTTCGTTGACTTGATGTATGAAATGAACGTGTGTGTAAATTTGAGATAACTAAAATATATAACATAACTAATATAAATATATATAAGAAAATAAGTAGATTATACTAGCAGACAGTTGTAAGGGTATGGTATTTGAAGAATTGAGAAACTGATATTGATTTAAGTTACTCCCAAGACTATTTTCAAGTGGTAAATATCGTTTTGATACCAAATTTGATAGGAAACATTTGGTAAAATATTTAGTTACCAGTGACGATGAACGACTTACACAATGTGAAGACACTAACATCTGCACGATAATCAATAAGATGATGCAAAACGAAAGAATTAAGTACTTGATTATCAATATCTATTCGTTTTGGTCCGATAATAATACAGAAAATTCATTGGTTAATAATCAAACCAATGAGTAAACATTAGTTTTTTTATTGCAAAAGATAGAATCTAATGGCATCTATCAATCTACATTATACATTACTAATTACTATTTAATTTACTATCAATTCATTTCATAATTCTTAAATATAAAAAACCATCATTTGGAAATTTTTGAATTATTTATTTTATATCTTGATTTGGAAGTTGGTTTAGTAAATTGATCAGAAACTTTACATAGAACAAAAAAATCAATACGTTCTCAATTTTAAAATCGTTGTTATAATGTACATATAAGTGTCATAGAGGATTTTTTCTGAGTTAATTATAATAGTGATTGAAATGGATACAATCAATATCAAGGAGAATAAAAATAGCTTACGTCATCATTACATTTCAGATGATTTATTCTATTTGAGATACTATCTATTAGATGGAAAAGAAAAAAAGTAATGTATATATAGCATATCTCTATTCATGTGTCTTGATCAAATAAATAACCTTCTCATTCGATTAAGCTAAAGAAAACTTTTTTTAATTGGTAAATTGCAAAAGATTTATTATATTTCGAGAACATATCAAACTCTTACAAAACAACATGCACGTGATAAGTATTTTCTTAATGTAATTCCTATCGAAGTATACCGGTGCGAATTTTAAATACATTGATAAAATGTATCGTGTTGTTGGTGATTGGATTATTCATCTGAGATTAAGTTTTATTTGAAATTCTATCAAAATTCACGATCTAATGCAACCTTTCAATGCAAAACCTGGTGTATATTCTGCTTTAAAGTTTAACAAACAGCATTTATGGGAGATTGTGATTGGAGACTTTTACGATATAATCTGAAATTGTAGTAGTAGAAAACAGTTTGTGTCAATGGTTTTACTTTTAATATTGGGAAAAATGACTGGTAACTTAATAAAGTTGCCAAAGTTACGGATGGCTTTGTAATATTTATTTTCTTCAACAAAGAATATCGCAGTCACTTTCATTGTGCTACCAATTGTGTTAATTATTATAAAATGCGAATGACTCAGTTGGACATCATCAAGTGAATTTTATCTTTGATTTTATTCCAGTTGATCTCACTATGACACAGTTCAATACTAGATCTGATGTAATCACTGACATTCATGGTGACAAGAATATATTGGCTAGTGCTTGGACTATAGGCACAACATACATGGCTTCTCTTTCTTTATAGTTTTATACACATGTTCGGTAAACGTAATGAAGAAAAGTTATTTTACTTTGAATGATTATTTTGAATCTTCTTATATGCATTCCATCAGTAACCAGGTATTTAGCAATATGTTGTTATCTATTCTATTATCAAAAGTCTTAATTCTAATGAAAAACATCACATCATAATAGTAGATCTCAATGGATTCAAGAATAGATACGAAATAACTGTATTATTTTCATAAAATCTCGACTATTTAACTTTAATTTCAATCTTGTAGGTTTATTAAATCCAACATCAATAATAAAATTACACAAATAAAAAATTGACTTAACCATCATATTATTCTATGACTTTTAGTTTGAATCTTACATACATTTGTAAAGTAAAATATGAAAAATTCTATTGTTATCTTGTATTTAACGCAAAGCAAAATAATTTAATGTCAGATTGTTGCAATAAATCATACTATACTATGACCTAAACAGAATAATCAGGATAGTAATTTGATATTTTTTTTAATAGTGCAAATAAAAAACTACTATAAAAATTTTCTTTTTACAGTTATTATTTTAAAGAATGATGTTCGCAAGAATAAATTTATTTTACATTCTATAAGTGGAATTTGAACAAACGAAAACAAATACATTTTTACTCCCATAAAATTCAATTAATCTGAAAACCTGCAATACATATTTCATTATTCAAATATCCAACTGATTAGAATCATTTTTCTGGAAAATAATGTTCTTAACTCTTTTTTTTCTTTCAATACATATAAACACTTGAAAATACTTCCATAATTTACTTTTCTCTTTTAGCTCTATTTATTTCACGTAATTAAATAATAAGATCATTCGTTTAGATGTATTAAAAGTACAGAAAGAAAACGTTTTATAAATTTTTGTTTTTTCGTATATTATACATTCGTTCGCACGAAATACATATTTGTGTAAAATTTAACTGTTAGTAGAACATGAGAATTTATTTCTTTTGCTTCCTTCTTTGTTTTCCGGTAGGATACTTTCTCATCATTATTATTATAATTGATCGAAAATAAAATATCTAAATGTATATCTACATGTAAATATATAGAACAAAATGAAATTGTTAACATTTATTTAAATATAAAATCATTAATGATAGGAAGGAGAAAGGAAGAGAGACGGAACAACACGAACGAAGATTTCGTATTTGTAATAATGTTGTATATAAGTGAAAAAAAGAGAGAGAAAGAGGAGAATAAGACGAAAGCGGCGAACACGAATAAAATATAATGCAAATAGGCTTTCTATTTAGCTTGTATGGGGAAAGAGGAGCAAGGAAAAAAAAAAAGAAAACACTATGGTCTCTACTCTTTGATAAATACGCATGTCAGTCAGTAACTATTTTTCGTCGTCAATTTCACGTTCTCTCTTATTTCGTTTTTTTCGCCAACGCACAGCCGTTTGTTGGTCGACTCATGATAGCTAGAAGTTTCACCGTAGTAGTATTTCTTTTTTTTTTTCTCGATGTATTTATATGAGTGTTCTTGCTCCTTTTTTTTATTCGTCTAAGCAAGCAAAAGAGAACGAGAAAACGAATGTGTAGTGTTCCGTGTTTGAGATTCCTATTCTTCTTTCCTTCGCTTCGTGATATATATATGCATACATATATATATACATTTTTCTCATTTATTCATAGAACAAGAAAGAAAGGGGAACAGGTATACATTTATATATATATATATATACAAAAGGATAGAGAACAGCAATGAACAATTGATCCCATTGAGACTCTATACTCTGTGCCTCGACTAGTTATATGGTGAGTGTAAAATAATTATTGTAAATTTCTCAAATATGAAATATTTAATTACTTGGAAAATGTATCGTTATCTTTTACGATTCAGTTAGAATAATGTAAAATTTCTCGAATTTTACCTACACTATCAAGAGAAAAACAGTTCTTTTTTTCGCTTGGATTGCACTTGAGATTTAATCAAAAATTCTAAGAATGAGAAAAAAACACTTATAGAATTTTTCTTTTCTTTTCTTTCGAACTTTCAGTTTTGTTCTCTCTATTTAAATAGTGTTCGTTGTTAGATGCTATATCCGATCACATTCATCAGTTGTATTCTTTATTTTTCTTTGTATAAGCAAATGTATTATATTTATATGTAAAGATATACGTCTAGAGAGAAGCTTATTATTCTATCGAGCAAGTACATACATACATATATATATATGAAAATTCATCTTGTGTTCTATTCGTGCTAGGATGAATAAAATCGAGAAGAAAGAGAACAAACGGGAAAAATAAAATTTTACTACTTCAACGAATCTTTCTTATATACATTGAACGAAGGTATATATATAAAACAAATATTAAAGACGAAGAAGTAGAGAAAAAAAAGAAAGAAAGAACACGATGAAAATTTCAGTGTAGACGCACACATCTACATATATATATAGATGCGAAAGAAGGAACAGAACGAATGTTTGAGAGTTGAGACACTCTTAACTATATGCTATCTCTTGTATTTTTCTCCTTTTTGTCTTACTACACATAAAAAGTCCAAACGTATGTGTAGTAATCTTGTACGTATCGTTCTTTTTTCTTTCTTTTTTTATCTGATCTCTAATTGGAAAATCTTTCAATGGAAGATAAAATACCATTTATAGTATGTACTATTATGTGCGTCAGGTTTTTTTTTCTTTTTGAACATTCTTTTCCCTTTATTCATCGATCATTCGTACTACTACATTTTTTTCTTTGTCATAAATTAAAAGTTAGAATAACGGGATACACCAGCTGTGGAAAACAGCTGTTTCACATTTATGATCTGCATCTCATCATTTTCTTCTTATTTCTTTTCAGAAAATCAGTCTTTTTATTATATTCTATCGTTTATATGTACTTGTTTAATACAATTAAATATTAAATAAAATCCAAAACAAAAAATAATATGAATCAATCTGAAATACAACAACAATTAGCTGATCAACGGCGTGGTCGTTATGTACGTGTTAGTGATGTTGATCGACGTCAATTAATTGATGCATATAAAAAAGGCGAAGATTTTATAGCACTTGCAAGAAAACTGAATATTAAACGGTCAACAGGTATAAAAAAATCCGTTCTTTTCTTTTACAAATAGCTAACATAACCTAGTTTGTCATTCGTCCACGTGAGCCGTATTTGTATATTCTAACTATTGAGAAAAAAAGCGTTCGCTACACTTGATTTATTCTATATCAATGCACCCATTTAACTATACTTATTTACTAAAAAAATGAAGGTAAAAATATTGTTTACATGTATCGAGTTAGATAAGAAGCGAAACAAATACAAAAGAATCAGCACACTCAAAAAATGCTTAATAGATATATATACTTGCAGAGTCATCGCTTCAAATATCTGTCCAATAGGTGTATATGAAAAAAATAAAAATTAAGATTTTTTTCCTCGATACATGATTAATAAATGTTTATTTACCTATTCTTATGATAATTGATATATATACAATAATCTGTTTTTCTTTTGTTTTTATCGTCTAGCTCGAAGTATTCTTCGAACTTTTATTGATGAAGGACGTGTATCAGCCAAACAACGTGCTGGAACACGTCTTCGTTTTATTACAGAAGAGGAAGCTGAAATGATACGAGAAATGAAACGTCGTCATCCATTAATAACTATTGGTCAAATTCAAATGCGTTTACAACGTACATCAACTCGTGTATTAAGTAAAGCATCAATATCACGTATATTAACGAATAGTATACGTTTGGGTAAACGTGCTAAACGTTCAGGTGAAGATGGAGATGATGGACAAGATGAAATGACTGAAACAATGGGTAATGGACAAGATGAACTTATGCAATTATCATCAGATGAAGGTACAGGTGAAGGAATATATATTGATGATGAAATTGATGAAGAAGAAGAAGATGATGACGATGATGAAGAAACTAGAATTACAGAAACGAATGCACCCTTACAAAATCTTGATGATTTTCAACGTTTTATGTTACGTAAAACAAGTATTAATGGAGATGAATCGATTGGTAATGAAGGAGCAGCATGGAGCACAAAAGGTAAATTAATATTTGTTAATAAATAAACAATAAAATCATATTTTGTAGAACAATATGATGACAATGGTTATGCAGGATATGATAGTGAAAATGAAGATGAAGTAAATATAGATTTAACTTTAATTGAATATAAAAAGAATTTTTATTCTTCTAGTTATCAGAAATTGATGAAAATGAAACAAAATCTTTAGTTGATCCTACATTAAATATGTCTTTACTCCCAATACCTATTAATGGTAAATAAAAATCTTATTTTTTTTTTAATCTAATTTTTTTTCTTTTAAAGAAAAACCTGCAATTTCTATTGAAAATGATAATTGGGGTGTTAAATCTGAACCTGTTTGTGTATTTGTTAATCGAAATTTCGATTCATCTGATAGTGAACAACCAGCTACTATTGACGAAGAAACAACAAAACGGTAATTATTATTTTTTCAATCTCTGATTTTTCTTTATAATCTATCTTTTAGTATGCTCAATACTCAATCAACCGCAAATCGTCGTATTAAAACATGCCCAATATGTGGTGAAACAAATTTCTCTCGTCTTTCTCATCATCTTACTGTAGCACATAATCTTAATCGTGAAGAAAGTTTAACTTTACTTGCATATTCAGATCGAAATAATAATCATTCATCTATTCCAATTGTAAGTAGTAGTTCACCAAAAAATCTCGATAAAAGTCCACAACAAACTCCAATAACAATAAATACAAATAATCAACAGATAACATCAGCAGGATTATCACCCAATGGAAATGATTTAGAAAATCCTGATCATCCTACAATAATAAAAACAAGTTCATCAGTAGATGATCAACAATCAGCAAATAGTTTATCAGCTGATGGTAAAAAACGTTTACTATGTCCACGTTGTAATACATGGGTTTTAAATTTAACAGATCATTTAATAAAAAAACATCATCTAGTATCAAAACAAGAACGTTTACCATTTTTACGTTTAGCACGTAATCGTTCATTAATGATAAATGTAGATAAACCATCAACAAATTCATTTCTTATTAATTCAAATGAACAACATATAATACCATCAGCAGTTAATAAAAAATATCAAAATATTATAAAAAAATATCGAAAAAAATTTGTTAATACATATCCATCATCTTCATCAATTCATGAAACACCAGCACCACCACTGCCAGCAACTAATTCCAATCAAAATTTATTAACTACAAATAATAATAATAACAACAACAACAATTCATTAAAACAAAATTCAATATCAAAAAATACAAATACAAATAAAGATGTAAGCTTAAAATTATAAGAAAAAAATAAGTTTTATTTGTTTCGTTCTAGATATCTGTACATCATAAATTTGAACAACGTCTATCAGTATTTCGTCAACAATTTGCTGTTACTGTTGCTATGCAAAATTCTTTAATGCAACAAATGGAATTATTACAACGAAGTTTTGTTTGTATTGAAGAAGAATGGAATGATATGAAAAAAGAAATTGTTGAATCTATCTCGTAAAGAAAAACAAAATTAGTTTTCTTTTTCTTTAAATCAGATATTAAGAAGCTGGTAAAATTAATGTTGTGCTAATACTATTTGTATATATTGTGCAAAACAAACAAAATTATTTATGTGAGCAGTACTATGTCGGAACATTCCTATGATTTGTAACGAAAGACAGTATGTTTAATGATTCGAACACTCATTTTCTTTTCCATTTTCTTTGTTTTTTGCGCACATTTTGATTCCAGTGTATACTTTGTATTTTATTCTTTTTATAAAGTATCTCGGATACTTTTCTTTGTTTTCTGTTTTTTTAATAATGACAAATACTAGACACAATTTGAAAAAAAGCTAGAAATTTTCCAAGTTGTTGCTTTTTTTTATCGATATTTATTCATCAAAGATGTATGGGTTCTGCTCAATAGTCATATAGAAATATGTATTCTTATGGCTATTTCGATAGTACTTTAATTGTTTATTAACAAAGAATTTGACATATAAATAATCACTGATTCTTGCTTTATAATAGTTATTTAAAAGAAATTAAAAAATAAAATATTTTAAACTTTGTTGTTTTGAAAAAAGTAGATTTTATAAACAAGCGTAAAATTACCTAGATAGATATCATATGTTGTTGTTTCTTGTATTACATCATATAACTTATGCAAGTAACAATTCCTGAAAAATATGTTTTATCGTTATAATTGAGGTTTATGTTTAAGTGGCTCACATAAAATCGTTCAAAAGAAAAGAAAATCAACGATTTTTATTATAAAACTTACGTAAACGTATGTCAGTCTTAACTTGATATAGCAGAAATCGATCATGCATACCGTCTCCTTGTAATTTTGTTTTTAAATACTCTCTATTAGTGCTCACGGGTATTGACACGTGTACAATTATGTATTTCGACTTCACTAATTTAGTAATTCGCATAGGTACTACTGAAAATCTATATTGAAAAAGATTGAACCATGTAAAATATCTCAAATGAATAAATGTATCTAATTATGATATTGCAATTGATCAACATATCATATCAAATGCAGTATCGTATCTTTAATTTAAGTAATTCTCTATGAATGATTCGACCCATGCGCTGAAAAATTGACGATTTTATCGCGATTTGTACGGGTAATAAATCGTTAAAGAAAATGATTTTTAGGGAAAAAAATTTGATTATTTGAGATATGTTTCCTATGGTCAGATCTATTGTTGTTCTTTGCCGCTAAGATCTAAATAATGTTCACTATTCATTTACGTTATCAATCTGTTTTCAATACTAACTTACACAAAAATAATAACAAATGGAAACATCAAAATTATAGAATTTTTCGCATCACATATAAATAGAATAATATTATGAATACTAAATTTTATTGGAAAATTCTATTTGCAATTTTTAAAAGAATATTCCTAGAATCCTACTTTTCATAACCAAGTATATTAAATCATATACGAAAATAGCTCTTATATTTTGCAAATAATCTTCTATTCATCAAGTTCTCTATTTATAACGTAAGGAAAATTAAAAATTAACAAGTCCAAGAACCACTTTCCACAGTATTAAATATTTTTTATACATTATTTCTAAAACTATTTGGTATGATTGAAGAATTAGAAAGACTGAAAAATCTATCATCTTGATTAATTGTCTATACAGTTTATCATCATCAGAGCTGTATTTCTTTTTTGCTGTAACCTTTTCTATTTTATATAATGTTAGCAGTCATATTTGTTTTTCTCTGTGAGACTATAAAGCCGATGTTCTCTCAACTGTTGTCATTTACTTCTCATATTGACAAAATGAAGCACTATATTGAAGAACTTTTGCAACGCAATCGAAATCTAAGAAATCTTTTTTTGAGATGTTCTATGAATTCGCTGCAAAAACTAAAACAGATTTAGAATTCATTGTGAAAATCTGATACTTTTAACTCGGTAATCATACCTTCTATTTCAATTTATATGATAAATACAACAATATAACTTATAAATTTTCTATGTTTGATAATATGCTCTAAGCATCACATTAGATCTGAGTAAATGATAATTCTTAATAGAATAAAATTATTTGTTAAATATTTTAATGAGTATATGCATAACAATTATTGAAATAAAAAAAATTTCTTGTACGAAAGTGATGTAGCATGACTTAAAATTATTTTGATCGAGAACATCTGTTTAGTGCCATCTAAAGAAGATGGCGCTATAAATTTATACTCAAAAAATCTATTCATCAGCTGATTTTGCACCAATCATTCATGAGTAAGCTGAGTCAACAATAGAAAAAGCATCGTCATTCATTTTTTCTCTATCGAATCTACTCGATCTAACGAGAAGTGAATATAAATGAAATGATTGAAGTAATTGCAGAGATTTTACGAGGTCCTGTATTTATTGCTGGCGAGACTCTTCATTGTCGAATAACATTTACAAATAAATTAACTGAGGAAAATAATTCAACAAATCATAAGTAAAGGAGAAAAAAAAAATAAATAAATAAAGAATTTTTAATATATTTATTCTTATACATTAGTGGAACTTTCGAGAAGATTTCTTGGGCAAGTGTTCAACTACATTGTCAACGTTATGTAAATGAACAGAAAGTAAATTTACAACAACAACAACATCAACAAATATCGAACATAAAATCGAATGAATCCACAACAACTAATACTGATATTGTTCCATTAGATTCTACTGCCCTTATTGCTACAAAAGGTGAAACTGGCCAAACAATTTATACATCTAAACCATGCGTACTATTTTGTGATTTGAAATTACAACCAGGTGAAACTCAAACATGTTTGTATTTTATTTTTAGTTGATAATATCTCTAATATTACTTTTCATCTATTTCAGTTAATTATCAAGAAACAATTTCTACACAAGTTCCTCCTACATTTCGAGGAAATTATGTTAAATATTCTTATAAACTTACTATTGGTACACAACGTGTTAATTGCCCAACAACACTTATTCGTGTACCTTTTCGCGTATTAGTTATACCAGGTATAAACATATGATGAAAAATAAAAAAACAACATCTACAATCTTTTATAGACCTAGACAAATATATTCGCCAAGATAAAGCTGCAATTGCTTCATCTCAACCTGGTACTAAAGTTGATAATCCATTCGTTTGTCCAAGTCGTACAGAAATAGATTCATTAACAACTGCTCTAGATGCTCTTCAAATTCTATCATGTCGAACACATCAAAGTATAGAATTTTCAAAATTCTAACAAACTATTTTTTCTATTCTTATATATAGATGTTTACAATATCAGCAATAATCGTGGTCGTGTTTGTCGTTTAACATTATTTAAAAATAATTTCAAGCTGGGTGAAGATATCTTAGGTACAATTGATTTTGATCATACTGATGTACCATGTGTGCAATATACAGTTACATTACAAAGTGAAGAAAATCTCAATTCAAATTATCGTCGAAAATCAAGTCAATTATCTAATATAACTTCATTTACAAAACAATCGGAATTTTGTTTATCAACATTTCAAAGCTATTTATCTCTTTCCATTCCATTATCATGTACACCAACATTTTCAATGGATCTTGGTAAAAATAGAAATATATATCAAAAAATATTCTTATTTTTTTCGTTTAGTTTCATTACGATGGAAATTACATTTTGAATTTGTTACATCGAAAATTTCACGTAGTATTTTACCATCGAATAGTGATGCATCATCAAGTACAACATGGTCAACAGCAAATTCAATTGAAGCTGAAAGCATGACGTGGGATTTACCTATAAAAATTCTGCCTACAAATCCATATTTTGCTAATAATGTCGCGAAAGTTTCTTGCACAACAGTTACTACTATTTAATTTTTTTTCTTTATTTTATTCAGGGGATATAAATGAATTAATGATACATAAAAAAATAGATCTATATTGCGTTTGTTTGTTTTTTCTTTCAGATGCATTCATTTTTATTTGTTGGTAATCATAAATCACAACCATCACAAGATTATAGTCGAACATCGAATATTGTATGTAGAAAATAAATCGAATATTTTAGGATAAAATTGTTTACTTTTGTTTATAGAATAATAGAGATGATTTTATTAAACGTGCAGAACAAGATCGAGAAAAACGAGAAGTATGATTTTCGGATTTATAAATCTTTTTGAAATATTGTTTTTTTGGGTTTTTAGCTTAATCGAAGACAGTTATATGCATCGATTAAAATTCAAAGTTTTTATCGGAGAATTCGGGCACAAAACGAACTAGTAAGTTGAATTTAATTTAATCAGAAAACTTCCTATGACATACTTTTTTAGACACGATTAGCTCGTGAACGTACATCAAAATTAATAGCTCAACTTCAATCAGCTTCATTCAATGAAGAAAATCTCATACATTTGGCTAATCTAATTAAATTTGGTTTTAAACCAAGTACGGATGCCAATCTTATGGTAAAGAATTGTGTTTTTATTTTTTCAAATTTATTTCTTTTTTCTCTATTAATAACAGATGTCATTAATTGACTCATGTTGGAAACATCGTCAAGCAATTATTGATAAACTTTCAAATAATAATAATAATTCTTCATTAAAAATTGCAATTGCGAAATTATTAAAATATACAGTCAGATGTCTTTCATATTTCGAATCAATTCGATTACCAACACGTTTTATCGAATGGTTTACTGATGCAAAAAGTTATCCAAACGAAAATTTATCTTCTCAAAATGTACAAATACTAACAAATTATTTTCTAAGAAATATTATTCGAAATGGTAAACTAAATTTATATATTTAATTAAAAAAATTTTTGTTTTTTTTTGCTAGGTTATTATACACAAATGTGTGCTGTAATTCAATCGAAAGTTCCATTAAATGTTAGTAAAGAAAGTCGTATACCAGCTATTGAACCAATTGTTGAATTACTTGCTCGACCTATTGAATCTCAATCACTTGATTCGATTGTTAGAGATGAAGCATTAATAACTCTTCGAAATGAATTATTTTCTCGATCGGATCTACCTGCATTACCATTAATTATAACTCCAGCACTTATTCTTCGACCAAATTTTCCTGCTATACGTTATATTGAATTAATTGATTTTAATCCAACATTTCCTATAGATTCATTATTATATCAAAATTGGAAATTATATCAATTACATGCATTTCTTTTGATTGTTGATAGTCGAATTGATCAATTGCCAGCATCATTAACAACAAGAATTGTTGCAATTATTCGATATTTTAGTAATGGTTTAATTACTACGAATTTTAATCATTTACCAATACATGATAATGATACAGAAGATCAAGATAAAGATGAACAAATGGAAATAGAAAGAGTACGTATTCATTTTTTAATTGATCGATAAAAATACGATTTAACTGTAAGAGCAATCTTGTATATATATATTTGTCAATTATAGGATGAACCGAATGGTGAATTAATTGAAGATTGTTTAGCAATATTAAATAAACGTTCAACTACAACTTATTTATTTAAATTAGCTAATAAACAAAATCATATATCAACAGAAGATTATAATGAATATATCTCGAATATAGCGACTGTTGCTCATAGTCTAATATTTCATCGACAAGAATCAATTCTTCGATCAAAGTAAATTTATATATTTATATTACATTTATCTATAATTTTGTTTATATAATTCTAGTTTTTTGATGATTTTAAGTACTTCACCTTCCTTTCTTCGACATTTATGGTCAGTTTGTTCGACATTAAAATATGAAACAGATTATCAGTAATATCATTAAATTCTATTTAAAATAAATAGAAAAATTTCTTTTTTATTTAGTGAACAAGTCCTTCTTCTTTCACATATATCTTGTGCTAGTTCATTACTTAAAGATGCTGATATTGATCGTATTGAATCATTACTTGTAACATTTTGTTCATTATATAGTATGTCACTTGTACCATTACATGATGATGAATTTTTTCGTGGACCACCGGATACAGCATTTCGAACAAAAGAAATATCGGATATGGTTAAAATCTTACGAGATGTATGTATGGGTATTGTTAGATTTATGTATCCAGATAAACAAATAAGTAATCAATCGACTAATACAGCAATGAATGTGAATGATGATGATGAATCAACGCCAAAAATTAATCGAGCAAATAGACAAGTAGAAACTGCAAGACAGCGAGCATCAAAATTCTCAATTGTTTTCAAAGTAAACGAAATATTTTATTTTAATTTTTTGTTTAATTGAAAGATTATTGTAAATATTTAGATCATTGTTCAATTACTTCAACAACTTAGATCGAGAGATGTACGAAGACAATTTTGTCCACCGGAGTATTGGTTAACAAATCAATTTCAATTACATCTTGATAAGGTATTAAAATATTTTACATTCTGTATATCTATATGATAAATAAATATGTATTTAGACTTATATATTACCATTTGCTCGTGGCTTATCTGATCCTTTACTTTTATCATCTGAAACTTATTTCAATCGTGATCGAGGTAAGATTTTATTTATATATATCTTTTTCAATTCTATATATGTATTTTTAGCACCGGATGCATTTCCCTTTTCTGTTACTGAACTTCGTTTATTAACTATTCTTCAACAAATTCCATTTGTTATACCATTTGATACACGAGTTCAAGTAAATATCGATCTTTTTTTTGCAAAACAAAAAAATCTTGATCTCTGTTAAGGTCCTAAATCTTTTAATTCAACAAAATAAAAGCGAACAACAACAAGGTGCTGAATTTTTACAGAATGGTTCAACAATCAATGTTCGTATTCGTCGAGATTATATTTATGAAGATGCTTTTGAAAAACTTAGTCCAGAAAATGGTAAATATTTATTAAATAATTTTCATTTCTCTATTTTCCTCATTTTAGAACCTAATCTTCGACGTAAAATTCGTGTTAGTTTCATAAATGCTGTTGGTCTCGATGAAGCAGGTGTTGATGGTGGTGGTTTATTTCGTGAATTTATGAATGAATTACTTAAATCATCATTTAATCCAATACGTGGCTTATTTAAATTAACAAGCGATGGTTATCTATATCCAAATCCAAATATTGCGTTTATTGATGAAAATTTTGGTCCACATTATTATTTTCTTGGACGGATATTAGGAAAAGTACGATTATAAAAATGAAATTCTTTTCATACTTAAATTTTCTTTTTTTGTTTGTCTAGGCAGTTTATGAGAAATTTCTTGCTGAATTACCATTTGCAACATTTTTCTTACAAAAAATTCTTTCACGTTCATCAGGGAAAGTTGATATACATCATTTAGCATCGTTAGATCCTGAAATGTATAAAAATTTACTATATCTAAAAAATTACGATGGCAATGTCGAAGATTTAGGTTTAGATTTTACGATTGTTAATAGTGAAATTGGTCAAACACAAGTAAATGAAGAAAAGAGTTTTTTTGATATTAAAAAAACTATATATTAAATTTAGGTTATTGAATTAAAACCAAATGGAAGAAATATTGCTGTAACTGATGAAAATCGAATTGAATATATTCATCTTGTTGCTAATTATAAATTAAATAAACAAATTACTGAACAAGTCTTTAAATTTCGTCAAGGTTTAGGTGATGTTATTAATCTTGAATGGTTAAGAATGTTTGATGCAAATGAATTAAGAATATTGATATCAGGTGCACCAGGAGAAATTGATGTTAATGATTGGAGAAATCATTCTCAATATCGAGGTATAATGCGAAAAAAAACAAATTTATTTGAGAAAACAAATATGATTTTTCTTCTAGCACCATATAATAAAGAACATCCGGTTATACAAGCATTTTGGAGATGTGTTCATGAATTTCCTGACGAGCAAAAAAGGAAATTATTAAAATTTACTACAAGTTGTTCAAGACCGCCATTGTTTGGATTTAAGGTAAATATTATTAAATGAAATAAATTATATCTGATGAAAATGATTTTAGGAATTGTATCCGGAATTTTGCATTCAATCTGCTGGCTCTGAAATAGATCGTTTACCAACATCAAATACATGTATAAATCTTTTAAAATTACCTGAATATAACGACGAAAATATGCTTAAAGAAAAACTTCTATATGCTATTCAAGCAGCTGCTGGATTTGAATATAGTTGAAAGGGGAAACAGTTCTTTTTCTTTTTTTTTGTTTCAAATTTTTTCCTCTCTTGTTTCTTCTTGTTTCACATATAAGTGAGCTATTTATAAAAAGATTTTGTGTGTGTGTGAGTGTGTATTTATAATTTGATGCGTGTTTCAACTACATACATATCTATATAAAGATAAACTCGAACTACTGAAATATTATAAATAAGATATATACACATTTAAAAATCTATATGTATATTTGATATTAGAAAATGCAAGAGAAATCAATTCATTTGATGGTGTTTTAAAAATAAGACGACGTATAATACACATGTTCTGAAATTGATTATTGTTTTTCTTTTCTTAAGCATGTCATCTTAACGATTTATAGCGAAGTAATCAGATATGTTTTCATATATATATTTATTTTGAATCATTGTCGAAATTGCCATTTATTATAAAATATTTAAGTGATAAGATGTATATGCTTTTGATTCTATTCGTTTTTTTTCGATTAATTCATTGTCAATGCAATTATCCTAGTAAATGGTTTAATGAAAATCATCCATGGGATATAAATTCAAAAGGAAATGATATCGAACGTTTTGCACTTATTCAAGCTAAGTATCCATCTATATTTGATATTAATCCATGGACAGGTTTATTTGAAATACGAAATGCATCTTATCAACAAACAATCGATAACACGATGTTAATTGAAAATTATACAAAAATTAGTGATGGATTTATATGTCATGCAATACAGGGAAAACAATGTATTGATTATGAAGTAAAGATAAATTTTGTTTTTTCTTAATTCAATCTTTTAGGGTTTTTAATTGATTAGATTCGTTTTTGTTTGGAATATAATCCATGTAGTGTTTCAACATATTCTCCTAATGAAAATCATATTATTGATGGTAGTGAAGCTCGTGTACATTCTTTACCATGGCATGTTTCAATTCAATACAATGAACAACATATATGTTCTGGAACTTTAATTGATAATCAACATATTTTAACAACAGCTCATTGTTTTCAACAAAGTTTTATTCCTATACCATATTCAGTTGTACTTGGAGCACATTATTTATCAAATTCAACTTATCGTATTCCAATTGATCGTTTTATTTTTCATTCAGATTACAATGGTCATACATCAGAAAATAATATCGGTTTAATAAAACTTAGTGAACGTATTGATTCATTTTCTAATCAAATTACACCAGCTTGTTTAGCACGATCAACTAAACAATCAGATAAATCAAATCCATTAATCGTTGCTGGTTGGCGTACTATAAAAAATAATACATGGTCTGTTTCAGAGACGGATGAACTTCGACAAACAGTATTAACTGTAATGGATCAATGTTCTGATGTTTATAAAAATAAAAAATATGATTTAAAAAAAGAAATTTGTGCTGGTACAAAATATTCTAAAAGGGATTTATGTCAAGGTGATGATGGAAGTGGACTTTTTGAAAAACAAAATCATGATATAGATCGATGGATTCTAGTTGGAATTATGAATTATGGATGTGACTGTGCACAGCAAGGTTATCCAGGTGTTTACATTCGTATCAGTGCATATTATGATTGGATTCAAAATACTATTCATCAAATAAATCAATAAATATAAATTTATTTAATAATTTTCTTTTATATAGTTATTAGAAGTACTGAATGTTGTATCAAGATATACACACATTGTTTGATGTAATAATCAAATGATTGTCATTATGATCCAAATTGATATTATTATTGAAGTCATTGACAGTCTATATAAAAAAAAGAAAAGAATCTTTGATCATAATGTCACTTAATAATTGTTGTATTTTACTTATGTATTGAGGAATTTGCTGAAACTAAAAACAAAAAAATTTTAGTAAAAGTAAAGAAAAAAAGTGTGTATAAGATTACTTGTTGTTGTTGATGGTGATATTGTTGTGGATGGTGATGGTGCATGGCAAGGACGATTATCAATCAAATTAAAGAATTGGACACGATGATTGTTACTATCACTTACAAAAAGATTTCCATTATTATCAAAACTTAAATCAAATGGATCGTGAAGTTGATTACTTGCTTTACCCCTCCCTAATAAGAAAAATAATTGATAATTTATTCTTCTTCTACAAATACTATATATATATATATACCATTTCCACCAGCAATAGTATCACCTTCAGTTTCACCATGTTGCCAACGTACAATTCTATGATTCGATGTATCAGCTACATATACAATTTTTGTTTCTTCATCAACAAATAGACCATGTGGACTATTTAGAGATGAGCTATCAGAGCCTGGTGTACCATCACTTGATCCAGCTACAGTAACACCTTCTAAAGAGTTTTTAGGCCATTTTTGTATGCGATGGTTTCCTACATCGGCTATATACACTGCATCAGTTATTTGACCAATCATAATGCCTCGAGGTTCTGTTAAATGATCTTCTCTTGGCCCAGACATATCTAATTCACCGGCAACTATTGTAGAAATATTTGTTAAAGGTGACCATTTATATATACAATGTCTCTTATGGTCTGATATATACACATTTTTATCTTGATCTAACCAAACTCCTGTACAACCACGGCAAGAGCTGCCTACTTGTGCGCCTTGAGTAGAATCTTTTGTCCATTTTCCGACACGATTGCCATTATTACTTCCAACATAAATTTTAGTACATGTGTTTACGTGAGGTATAACAGTTAAACCTATTACTGTCGATTGATCTAGTGGAAACACTTGAACACGATTATTTAACGAATCCGAAATATACAATCGTTTCAATTTTTCATGAATAAAAATACCATCAGGATAATTAAGTTGACTAGCATTATGACCTGGAAGACCACCACCAGCAAGTGTGGTAGCTGTAATATTCCACTTTGCACATGGACTTAGAGTAATTGATAATAAAGATGATGTACAATACAAAACGATAACTTAAATATTGAAAAAAGAAATTCAAAAGAAGAAAATATCATTTTACAAAAGCTTTAGACTCACAAATATAAAGAATAAAATTCTGCATCTTTAATAATGAAAAAATAAAAAGAAACACACATAACTTCTTAAGTACATAGATGACAAAAAAGGTAAGAACTATTAGATAGTGACTAGTTGTTTTTCAATAATTAAATGCATATCTATATTAACTTTCAAACAAACATATTCTCTCGTAAAATATGAGAAATCAATTAAATGAACATGTGTAGTTATTTGATGACATCATTATGAGTTTCAAGATCAAACCAATATTCATCGTATTAGATCAAGTAATCGTTAATAACAAGATATAAATTACATTGATTTTTCCTCTTCATTGCTTTCATCATTGAGAAAACTTTAATATATAGCAATAATTCATGTGATCGTTTGCTGTAGATTCTTTAAATATAACTTTAGTTTTTTTCTTTTCTGCTTTATTGCTTTCAGTCTTTTTTTTCTTGTTCTACTTTCTATTCTTCGCGTGAATAAAATTTGAATGCGATGAAAAAATCAAGTCAATAGAGGAAGTGAAGCATCAATTAAATAGACACATCTTGACGATAGAAGTTGAACATTAGTAAGAACACATTTTGAATGAGGTGTGGTGCGTCATTCAAATAGAAAATTATGATCACTATATACATTTAATGATGAATGTAAATGGAAGCGTATATATATATATACCTTCAATTTTTGTTTAGAATAAAGACAAAGTGTCAAATGAAATAATGATGATGGAATGTCTCAAATAAGAAAAAGAGAAAAAGCTTTTTTTTATCTCATTTATCCATCCGGTTCCATTCTTATTGGTTATAAAACAAATGTCATTAACCAATCGATGAATTTTTTTTGTGGAAGAAGAAGAAAAAGAAAAATGAATGTCGATGAATTGAGAATAATTATTAGAAATAGTTTTTATTAAAGAGAAAAAAAACGGATAGAAAGTAAGTCGTGTTTAAAATAAATCAATTTCTTATTTTTCTCTATTCTCTCTATCATCAATCTAAAGTGTTCATGTCGGCATAATCAAAGACGTTCACTCTTTTTCCTCAATCGATGATGATGATCTTTTTAGGAATGCATATACCATTTGCTAATTTTCTTTTTCTCTACAATCCCGAAACTATTTCATTATGTCACTAATCACTTTCTATTGAGGATTATATGGTTCATATGGCACAAAACTTACTGTCTCTCTCTCTCTCTCTTTCGCTTTCGTATGCGCGCGCGTCTTTTTCTCATCAGAAATTCAAGTGGCACATCAGAAAAGTTCAGTTGACTGTAAAAAAAGTCTAGCATCTGCTAATAGAAAAATATCAAATACAAAAAACAACAACTCATATTCTATCTTTTAGACATGGAAGAAAATTTAACGATGAATGATAATCGTCATCATGATAATAGTTATGTATCAACATGTACTATACGTGGTGCACCTATTGTAAGTTTAATTACGGATGGCAAAGAACGTTTATGTTTGGCGCAAATATCAAATGATTTATTAAAAGATTTTAGTTATAATGAAATACATAATCGACGTGTTGGTATGAATGAGAAACATTTGAATTGATATATTTTTCTTATTGAAATTTTTTTTAGCATTAGGTATAACTTGTGTTCAATGTACACCTGTTCAGTTAGAATTACTTCGACGAGCAGGTAACAATTTGTAATCTATGTATATGCTAGAAAATTATGAAATAATTTTCAGGTGCTATGCCAAGTTCATCTCGACGTTGTGGTATGATAACTCGTCGTGAAGCTGAACGTTTAGTTAATTCATTTCTTGAATCAACCAAACCATTAAATTTACCGGAAAATTTTGTTTTTGAAGTTTATCATCATTGCGCATGGGGATGTCGTGGTTTATTTATACCAATAAGATACAATAGTTCACGAGCAAAATGTATCAGGTTAAATAGATTTTCTCTATCTTTATATTGTTTTATTTACTTTTCTTTTACAATATAGATGTTCATTTTGCGACAGTTTTCTTTCACCAAATAAATTTATATTTCATTCTCATCGTTTACCCAATGTATCTTATGTACAACCGGATAGTCCAAATTTTAATGCATGGCGTCGTCATTTACGTTTACATAATCCAACACATAGTGAAGATTTACGAGATGCATGGGAAGATGTTAAAGCTATGTTTAATGGTGGAAATAGAAAACGAACAGCATCAGCAACAGGAATTTCTTCTCATAATTCGAAATTATCAAAAACGAATAATAATAATAATAATAATACTACAGATGAAAGTAATGAGCAAGTCAATGAAGATAATGATGAAGATAGAGAAGGAGATGACTATGATGATATTGACAAAATTGAAGATAAAAAAGAAGTAGAAGAAGAAGAAGAAGAGGAAGAAAAAATAATTGTACCGACTCCACCACCAGCAAAAATATCAAAAACAAGAACAAAAGAAAAAAAATTACCAACTCATAATGTTGTTTCATCAACAACAGCTGATGAACAATTACCTGATATGAACATGTTTCTTCCTCCTCCACCTCCTTTATTATCAGCTCCACCATCAACGAATTATTTTCCTTTTCCTCCACCATTATCATCATCAAATCCATTATCTCTTGTAACTCTTAATTCAACAGATTGGTTACAATTTTTTCGTTCACCATTATTTGTTCCAAGTTCATTTCGTTTACCAATATCAACGATGCCAAGACGATTTCCATTTGATATTACTCATCAAAATCCATCAATTATTGGTAGTAGTTCACATTCAGCTTTTAAACCACCAATTCCAAAACATGACTAATAAAAAACTAAAAAAAAAAAAATACATTTTTACGTTGTAATTTGTTTCTCTTAGTTCTGTTTGTGGTCAAGAAAAATAAAATAAATATTTCAAGAATATCCTATCTATATAAGAGTTTAGCATTATTGAGGAATATTAATATTTACCATGTATTTAAATAAATAAACTGATTCTTAGCGCGCCCTATACAAACATGAATTGAAACATAAAGAATTGTTACTATGTTGTTGTCCTGACAGAAACTACAATAATGGCAATGTTGCTTATTTTAAAAAGTGCGTGACGCATATATATTAAATAAAGTATTACGTTAAAACAAAAGCGTTTCTCATTATTTAAAATACAATCATGGCAGCAGGTGGTAAAACTGATATGGACCGAATTGGTCTATTTAAAGAAATGGAATATGCTACAATAAAAGATCCATATAAAGAAGCATCACGTTGTAAGTTAATTTTTTAATAATTTTCTAATTTGATAAAAGATATATATTTCTTTGTATAAAGTTCGATTTAATGAAGCAGCATCCAAAAATAAACAAATGATGAGTAGAGGTTTCAAACCACGATCAACAGGATCATTAGCTGGATATTTTGAAAATGAATTTAAATTATTACCTGGCTCTTATATTGATCCTATACAAATGCGTCGTCGAGCACGTATGGAAGAAAAAAAGAAGAATAT